ATTAAATCTGCAAGATTTTTTTCCCCCCCATCCCCTAGAGACGAAAAACTGAAAATGAGAAACTGGACGAGCGAACGGTTCTTTCCATATCTTCTTTTTTGTATTCTTTTTAAAAAAAATGTTTTATGAGGGAGAGCTATTCTTTCATCTTTATAAGGAAACAAAGGGTGGCTTGGGACAAAGCATTATCGAAGGCTGCGGTTCGGGTTTTAGGATCCGTGCCTTGGGAAACGGGTCATTGAAGCGTTTTGAAGGCCATGAGGGCTTTACTGATAGGCCTGATCTTGTCGTCCTCCAGCTGGGCATTTAGAAGGCACAGATGGAGAGGCGCTGAGAGAAGAAATCTGGAGGAAAAGCCCGCTTTCAAGGCCTGCGAAATTAGGCACCGATCCACTGTTTACACAGTTACGTGCCAGTTCAAGCCGTATTTTAAGCTCTCGTTCTCAGCAGAGAAATCAATAGCCGGAAACGTTCTCTTAGAGGAGCTTTACTGTAGGACACTTTTAGATTGGCACAGGAACACAGTGGTCGGGAAGGTAACCTGCTTACTTCCCACTTCTTGTTTTATTTTCATTGGCTCGACTGAGAAGTTACAGTGAGTACACGTCTGGGTTTAAAAGAGGTTTGTGTGCGCCACTGCTCGATTTCTGTCATGAAGAACGTGCTTTGGCGTACTAATCATGGTCTTTTGATGCATGCTGTGCTTCATGTGTGTCTGATATGCACTTCTCCCTAGTTGCTGCCTTCAGATGTGGGATGGGATTATAGGTGGGCGCCAGGAAGAGGTTAGAGAAGGGTTACATTAGCCCCCCTCCCCCACCCCCCAGCCTCTTGCAGTTCACTAAAGCCTCGAGACTGTCTGGGGGTCTCACTCCTGCTAGTAACATTTAAGCCACAGGTTAAATCTTTAGCTCTGTTTGCTATTGCTAAACCTAGTGAGCTGCCTTCTAAGACAGCATGCTAACCACCATGGAATCTCGTTGTAACCTATTTGGAGCATTCTGTGCGGTGTGTGCACCATAACAATAGCACTACACACAATTTAAGTAGGGTTTAATGTTAGCATGCTGCTAAGCTTACACTGATACACTAAGCGTAAAACTGCTTAGAACTCATAAATATTGTGAAAATAGATTGAAAATGTTTTATCGATATTTTTCAGTATTGAACGAAATGTAAGTTTATCAACGTTTCTCCCGCTTCATCCCCAATCTTTAATTTAGTTTTTCACTTAACTCGTTGCAGTGCATTCTAGGATTGGTCTTCTTTTGAATTTGACTGAAACTAGGTGTCTTACAAGGTAGCATAGCCAAGTTGTCTTTTAGAACAACTTTCACACCCCATTTGGGAACCCAACATCTTCCTAAACTTGTAATGAGAAATGTTTATAAACCAGCTGTTGTCCACAAAAGAGAAGTTCGCTGATATTTTCCTCCAAAATAAAGCTTGAGGGTTTAATGTTTGAAAAAAAAAAAAAAAAATGAAGAAATGAAAACTATACAATAAAACAGTTGAAAACAGTTGCACTATAAAATAAAATATTTTTAAACACTCTATTTGTAATTTTACAGAGAATTATTTCAATAGTAATGTTTCTTTTGTTAATATTTGTATTCAGTAATAAAAAACAATAATAATTTTTTTTTTTTTTTTTTTCACATTCAAAAATCTCTTTCGCCACAAAACTAAACGCCTTAACTTGCATGCTTGAAAATGTTGCCTCTGTAAGCAACTGACTGTTTTGGAACGAATCGTCTCTCTTCCCCCTTGTAGATGCTCAAAATGACGTTAATTTTTTTTTCATTACTTTGTACATATTTGTTCCTATCATATTGGAAAAGAATGTTATTTTTATGGAGCGGGACGTATTTGATTTATCTGAAAGCGTTATGATAGCTGTTTGTGTGCGATATTAAATGTATCTGAGTGTAATATTATTTAGGAATGATAGCATCTAATCCTGGAATAAATTACTGCGGTGAAAGCACCGTTATGTAGCACAGGTAGGGGGCGCGCACACACGCACACGTACACGCACACACATATACATTCCTAAAACAAACACTGAAGATGGAGGGTTTCTCATTCATATGTACACACAAAGACACAATCACAAACAAACAGACAAAAACACGCAATCTTCTACATACACACTCTCATACGCCGACCAGAATGCACCTGCAAACATTTGCAGTCACCCTGTCATTTTACTTCTCACTCAATACTGAGTGAGCCTGAAGGGCTGCCCTTTATTTTGACATGTCTTTAATCTTAAAGTGCAAACATATCACGTTTACTCCTCTAGCCTTTCTCAACTCTCCACTATGTAGCCCAAGCATACAAATGTGCAACACATTGTTTATTTGTTTATAAAAAAACAGCTCATCTAAAAATGTAAAATTGTGCAACATTTACTCGCCCTCATGTCATGCCAAATATGTATGTCTTTATGTACAACACACAAAAAAGATTTTAAGCAGGATCTTCACATTGTTCTTTTCCATACAAATATAAGTTGTCAAACTCCATTGTGTGGAAAAGAGCAGTGCAGACATTCTGCTTAACGTCTCCTTTTATTTTCTACAAGAGAAAGACCGTCATATTTGGAATGAAATGAGGGTAATTCCTTTTTTACAGAATCTCCCCCAGAAACCTCCTCCATCCTCTCTGTGCATTTTCTTTAACCTGTTTTTATAAAACTTCCTCCTGATTGGGCGAAATGAGGCCTTATTTGGTGACGAAAGGTTCTCCTCTAGAGGATGGTGAGCTGTGCTGGTTCATTGCTGACCCACTTCTTCTTTCTCATTCTCCTTGTTCTCTTTCCCTCTGTTCACATCAGAAACAGGGCTTGTGCTCGGTCCCACTGTCCCTTGGCCCTCTGTCTGCTAACTGCAGCAGTTAATGAACTTACTGTGGAACTACTGTGGTACCGCTGAGAGTCCCAGCTACTCTCTTTCATGTTCATATTTCATATCTGTGCTGTAGCTCAGCGCACTCAATTATTTACTAGAGCACTCCCTTTTCTAGGATGATGTTTTGTGTTTCACTTGTCTGTCTATTTAAAAAAAAAAAAAATAATATTCTGTCCGTAGTTGGGGGAGTCTTGGTTAGTGATGCATGAAATGAGATGCTAGTAGTTAGTGTTCTGATTGGATGCTCTAATAGGCTGCATGTTCACAGCTCCACTGTGCAGAATGTGTATCTGTTTAGCAAGCGGTTCGTATAACATTTTCTCAGACCATCAGGCATTATTGGTAGAATTGGTAGCAAATTGATTAAGCTATTGGATCGTGTTTGAACGGTATACTCAAAGTCACACCAGATCCTGCAATGTTTGATATAGAGATAATCATGGCAATATTTTGGTGTCCCTCATGTGTAATCGAGGAATCATGTCACATACACACTGCAGTAGTTATGGGTGTAAACACCTCATTTAAAGGTATTGTAGGTAGGAATTTTATAAAAAAACTTTTTTCCAAATTTGTTTAAACTTTCTGTATATATCAATGCATAATTAAAATGTAAGTACTCTGAAAAAAAAAGTATAAAAATCGAGTGTCTGTAGACCTCTCACGACTGTTTTAAAGACAGCTCATTATTTCCATTCACTCCACCCCCTCCCTTCTGGGCTCCTTCCAAAGTCACGCCCCCAAAACACATGAACGCGCGACTCCGACCGCTGAGCTGAAGACGCATTATTTACCTGAGACGAGCGGAGAGGAAGGAGCGCAGTGCATGTAGTGACATCATGTCAGAATCACATGTAATGAAAAAATCTAACTTTATCATTATGAAGATAAACAAATAAGATGTATTTTAGTACTCACTATCAAGCTAGCATATTGATATGGGTAAAGTTTAAAATATATATTGATTCGCTAACGAGCTAGTTATCTATAAGGCAAAGCTAAAAACAGGTTGCATGATACACGTTTTTCCATTGCCATCATTTACACTGTGATGAAGATGAATTTCGTGTAACTTTCACAACATACCGTATATGGTGTTCTGCATGTAAGAATTTCCATGATGAAAGCATTGTTGACTCTGATGAGGACTACACTCCAGAGACAAGTACCGCATCGTCAGCTCGAGGACAGATCCGGGGTCGAGGGCGAAGCAGAGGAGGTCGTCACAAGGCGTCACTTTTCAGCCCCTTGAGGTCTCTCAGTTCTCGCCATCGCTGGAAAGCCACGCCGATATTGACACGCGTTTTATGTCGTTGTTAATCCAAAGACTTTTTGTTCATTACCTTTTCTAGTAACGTTACTGTCTTCCTTTTTTTGCCTGGTTAAGGTTTGCCTTCACAAACTGCATATGTGAATTTTGATTGGTCTTTCTCTGCCATTGTTTTGCTATTCCTAGGTTCCGTGCCTCTTGAATTCCTCAAATCAAACGGATATGCGCAAGTGGGCAGGTCCTGTGTGGCAAAAGGGTGGTTGCCATGGTTGCGAGAGAGTGACAGTCGCCTAAGCCAATCATTTGTTTCGTCCCGGAAGGAAATAATGAGCTGTGTTTAGTGCAGATTAAACGGTCTAGAGTCACTCAATTTTTATACTCTTTTTATCAGAGTACTTACATTTTTAATTATGCATTGATATATACAGAAAGTTTAAACAAATTTGAAAAAAAGTTTTTTATAAAATTCCTACCTACAATACCTTTAAATGCAGAAGTGAATCCATTAAGTTATTGTACCGTATGTGAATTGAAAACTAGAGTCACTCCGCATCCTGAAATGTTTGATATAAAGATAATCATAGCAACATTTTGGTGTCTCATGGGTGTAAATGAGAAACATGGATGCTGACAGTTTAACCGTAGGATCTGGTTGTCACTCCCTAAATAGTCAAACGGAGTGTGTACAAAATCCAGATTAAGTACTGACAAGTGGAGTGACATCTGGATTTAGCTTCTTTTACTCTTTCCCCCTCCTCCTTGTCTCTCCCTTCTTCCTGTAAGTTGAATGATAACTTGTTTCTCTGCTTTTTGGGCAGATCTTAACATGGAGAGCCCTTGCCTGAAGAAGACATGTGAGTTTGGAGCCGTGTGCGTGGTGAAGAACAGCGAGCCTGTGTGCGAATGCTCAGATGCGTGTTCGCAGGACCAAGACCCTGTTTGCGGCAGCGATGGGCACACTTACAGCAACTCATGTCAAATGAAGGCCATGGGATGCGCCCTTCAGAAACAGATACAGATGCAGCACAAAGGACCATGTGGTGAGTCCACACACACATTGCTGCCACTCACTCCCTCACTGCCTTTCATCCTCGTCCATCCCCTGCACTTAAGCACTCCACTGATATTTCAAGAGAGGACTGTAATTTTCCTCCTCCGCAACCTTTTTTTTTTTGAAACGATGCACTTAAGTTAGAATTAAAGAGGGCAGCATCCTTCACAGTAATTGTTTGCATGAGTCATGGGTTTTTTGTCTGGCTTTTGTAAGCACGCACCAGATAAGTCTGTGGAGAGGCCTGCTTGCCCTCCAAACAAACGCATGTTTATGTGTGTTCTTCACAAAAGGCTTGTAAATCATTTTCGATGGCTGTCTTTGTGCGTTCGCTTGGGAGGGGAATATTAAGTGGACTTTTTCTGCTAAACTTTTACCACCATTTGTAAAGCCTTTCTTTTTCACCATTGGCTTCGGTTCAGAGAGAATGAGGTGGAGCTATTGTGTCGACATTTAAAAGAAGTGTCATGTGTTTGCAGTTTATACATGTGTATTAGCTGTGCCTCCAGTGAAGAGTTTGAAATGGAGGCTGGGAGTCATTTGGCAGCAGTAGGATTCATCTCAGAGAAGATCGCTACAGGCCACGGTTGCTCTTTATTGCAGCACCGCCCATCATGCTGTATATGTTGCCAGATAGTAAATGACATATGAGAGTGATATCTCTCTCCTCACAGGCTTCTGGAACATCAGCTTAACTACCCACAGAGATTTAACCCACAGAATCAGTTTTGGGTGGGGCCAAGCTTGTCTGTTTTCATACATATAAGATGAAAACTTCAAACTGATGATTCAGCGCTTGAAAGAAAGGATTTTAGAAATGCTTGAGCTTGATGGGTTTGTTTTGCAAACGCAAGATGTTCTATGTGTCCTCATAGAAGATAATAATCGGCTTCCCACAATCATGGAAAACCTGGAAATAAAAGGGAATTATTTTGTTTTTTTAGATCCTCAAAAATGCATTGATGTAATAAGCTTTAAAAAGTCGTGAGAATTGTTATAGTGCAAATTAATTTAGTTCACATTTGGGATCATTAGCTTTTTAATCTAAACCCAGAAATATGTATATATTTATATAAAATGTTGTATATTATTTTATAAATTTTATTATTATATTAAATCAAACAACTGAAAAAACTCCAGCAAAAATGATGGTGGTTTGTTTTATTAGCTGGTCTAGATAGTTGATCAGCTGAACTGCAAAATGGCGAGATTGGTTTAGATTGGCTAGATCATGTTGGACAAGCGATTTAGCGATGATAGACCATCTTTGACCATCTAAAAAACAGCATTGGTATTCCATAAACAAGCTTAAACACCTTAAAGAGGATTAACCTGTTTATTCCAGCTGGAAATAATCATTGTATTTTTAAAAACCCACCCATTACAGCGTCACAGCGGTGTTGATGGGTCCAGCCCCTCACTGGAGCAGGTGTCAATGGAAAGGGTCAATAAAGAGTGGCTGCAAACAACTAACCATATGAGGAAACGTTGTTCATTTAGTTCTGTGTACACAGCCATGCTCTCCACCGCAAGTGAATTCTATTATTATAACCGTTAATTATCTGGGCCCATGCAGACCACAGCCTCTGCCTCACTAAGAACCCAGCTGTGTTTGTGTGTATTTGTTCGTGAAAGCTTGCATGTGGGTCGCTGTTGGTAGCAATGCACCCACACGAGTGGGAGTATGATGTGCTCGTGGCCAAATTTCATTTAATTTTCTTCACTCCGCATAGGGGAGACTCATAAATGCCCTTATCTTTATAGTTCAGGTGCAGACTGATAGAGATATGACGGACATAGTTCATTATTCAGATTTTTTCCCCTCACGTTTGAGTGGCGGCTGACCTTGTCGTGGATCCACAGGGAAGCGTGCCGTTGTAATGGAGTATTTGATATCTACCCCTCCGAGAACCAATACTTATACATTTATATGCAAGGAAATGAAAGAACAGCCAACGGGTCAGCAGCAAATAAGCACTTTTTACTGGTGATTGAAATGTTACTAGCCACAGTTGGGGAATATAGGTTACCTGCAAGACACTGAGCTGGAAGCGGAAGAGAAATCATCAGGCTGTGGAAGGAGTGAGAGAAGGCAGTAAATAAAAACTAGGAGGAGACGGAGCAGACTAATAGAGCGGGTGCCCTTGCCCAAGCACCAATCGCCTGGGAATTTTTACGGCTATTCGCCGTGCTGTTCTGTTCCTGACATTAACAATGTTCCTTCCTTTCTCCTGGCAAAAGGAAGCAGTTACCGCTCACCCTTTAGAGGAATAGTTCGCCCAAAAATTTAACTTTTGTCATTATACACCAAACACAAAAGGTGATTTTAATTTTTTTTATTTTTTTAATCTCAGCTCAACTATGACTTGAATTTCATTATTTTCCTGCACAAAGCTAATGAATGAAAACTTATATATGTGACATAAAAGGTACAAACCTTTTTTTATACCTTAATGATACTTTTGTGACCTTTCTGAAGCTTAAAAGCTGCAGTCCCCATTCATTGTAATTGCATACAAAAGAGAGAAACATCATTCAACATTTTCTTTGTGTTTCGTAAGAAAGAAAGTCGTACAGGTTTGGAATGACGTGATGGAGAGTTTTTGGTTTCTGGGCTTGAATGGACAGATTCTCTTCTCGTTTCCCATAAGGCTAAGCTCTGCCCTTAAGGCCTCTGTCTGTACTCGTATCTCGGGTCCAGCACTGTATGCTGGATCGTTGTCTATATGTAACGGACTGCCATATCTATTTCGCTCCCCACTGCTGAGGCTGTGAAAGCATGGAAACATGTTGCAACTGATAAAGAAATGCCTTTATCACATATGCTGATAAAGGAGAATACCAGCAGCCACGAGAATGTGATTTATCGGCCTGCATTGGACTGTCACGACGAACCACTCTTGGGCAGCCACTAGACAGCATGCTGCAGCTGCTTTTAATAAGTCGGCCGAGCGCGGTCCCTGAGGTTGACTGAGCGCAGATTCTGAGCCGAGGTGAGGTCACTTTATTAATGTGCAATAAACAGGTTGGTAGAAGAGAGACGAGAGATTTATGCATGAGGACCTCTCTCCATTAACACTAAATCAGGTGCTGTTATTACCCCAGTGCTAATTGAATGTGATAGCAGTTGCTCTAATGCAATCCCCCAGGTGTAATTGTCATCGGCCGTGCGTCCTCCCTCCCAGTTGGAAGCACATTTTGTTTTACTGATTAATCGAGCTCTTGGAAATCATAGCTCTAAATTTAACTAGGGATGTCAACTTCACACATTAACTGTAATTACTTTAAAAAAAAAAACTAAATAAACCTTAATCTTGCCCCCTGACTCGTATTTGAATTGTGTAATAAAAAATATATATATTAATAATCATTGCTGCTTCGATTAATAATTGAATTACATATTGCAATTCATGCATAGCAGGATATATAGGAATATATAAATATAATATTTAATAAATATAATTATACTTAAAAATTTTGTTATTATAAAATTGTTTATACATTTTGAATCAAATAAAAAATATTAAAATAAAATTGTGTGTGTGTGTTTAATGGCTTCATTTTGGTGCTTTTTGTGGTAAATATTGATGTCTGGTCAATTAAATACAATGTCATGTGGCATTTCAAAGGGATTGTAACAGTGTCCGAAGGCTCAACATCAATTGAAATTGATGGTGTTATAATAAGATGCTCTACTGTGACTGCATGTAAACAGAGCAGTGTTGCTCCCATCTGTAAGTTGGAAGGATGCTTCAGCCCAGACTTTGCAGAGAGATTTGAAAAAAGTAGACAGGCGGTCGGGCAGCTGAGGCTGATCCCATTGAGCGATGGTGTGAATCTGTAGCCTGAACCTCTCCGTTGACGTCACACTTCCTTTTCAGCAGATGAGTCCTGCACCAACTGCTCGTTTGGCGCAATCTGCGATTCTCAGACTGGCCGGTGCGTGTGCCCCAAAGGGTGTTTGGAAACACGGCAGCCCGTGTGCGGCAGCGACGGGGTGACATACGACAACGAGTGCAAGCTGAACGTGAAAGCCTGCACTAAGCAGCTGGATCTCAGAGTGGTGGCCCATGGAGAATGCAGTGAGTACATAAAAATGCCAATCAGTTCATCCATCACCTTCATACATGTTCACTCATCAGTCTGCGTTTGCTGCAAAACAAAATCATTTTCTCTAGTATTTTTGTTCCAGTTTATTCCAGTAAAATATCCTTAAAACAAGATAAACGTACTGAATTTTCAAACTTGTGTTAGATTTCTGAGAATGTATATTGTTTGTTTACGCATAAATCACATATTTTAGATTTATGCTTTAAGCAAGAAAAACAATTAGCGTAAGAAAAACTTAATTCAAAATATGTTCTTTGGAAAAAATCTTGTGATTTTTTTCTTTTAAAGGTAAATTATGTTGTTTTAAATTGTTTGATTATGTTTTACTGGGAAACAAGACAAAATACTTATTAAGAAAATGTTTTGCTGTGCAGTTTTCTTGTCAAAACACAAGAAACTGTTTTAGCACTCTTTCCAAATCATGTTATGCATGATACATGATTTTACGTGGGTTTTACATAGCAGAATCCCATGTGAATGCATTTAAATTTTCCAAGAGGAGGTTTATTGCGGGTGTGAACACATTTCTTGTGTCTCTTTGTGTCTCAACTATCTGTCCTGTGATTTGTGTGTGTGTGCGTGTGTGTGTGATCAGAAACTTGTGGCAGCACTGTTTGTAGCTGGGGAGCGCGGTGCGTGCAGAACAAGTGTGAGTGTCAGCAATGCACGGGTCAGCCAGTAAAACCCGTGTGTGGCAGCGACGGCACCACCTACAACAACGATTGTGAGCTACGTCTGGCAGTCTGCAAGAAACAGAGGAAGATTGAGTTGGCCAAACCTGGCGCCTGTGATGAAGGTGAGTTCATGTGTTTATGTCTGTGATAAGATAGCTGAACTCCCTGTTATTTGTTGATTTTCAATGTTGTACTGAGAACTAGCCGGGTTAATGCATTCACTCCAAACAGTTTATTGCGGCCAATTTAACTTCCTTGCATCAACTGCACTTAGTGACCCATCATATGTGAAGCATGAAATGCAGGCATCAGTATGCTCCTTGTGTTCTCTGTGTTTTCACTCCAGGTCCCTTTTTCTTCTTACAGTATCAGTGTTTGATAAACTGCTTTGAAAGTATATTAATAACCCATGTTTTATATATATATATAAAACACGTTATTGAACACACTGATCTAAAGACAGACAGTCACACACCTTTGTGCCATTCCTGAAACATAGTATATACCTGTCATTTCCAAGGTGTTTGATTTTTTTTTCCCATTTTACCATGTTCATGTACAGAGACTCATGTGAATATTTAAGTCAGCAGGACTCATCAGTGGCATCTGGTCCCTGTAAAAAAAAAAAAAAAAAACGAAACCACTGTGAACATGTTGATATCTAGAGAAACTATAGGGCTGCACGATTTTGGAAATACATTTTAGATTTTTCTGGTTAAAATCGCGATTTAAAATTTACAAAAAATATATATAATGAACACCAGGTTTGTTGGGCCTTGTAGGCATATACTTGTAGGGCTGCATAAAATAATAATAGCAATAGCCTGTAGCAGACGGCCTATAAATGGTTAAAAAGGAACACTTCAGTAGGCTACACTACAGTAGAGAAATATATGTCATATCATATGTTACTTCGAATGTTTCCATTCCTTATGACGTTATCAAATGAGATTGGAGTAAAAACATAAAGCCTAATGTTTGACGCGTTTTGCTGACTCAAACTCACAGCGCCTGCAGAGAACATTTACTGTAGCGATCAAGCCGCTCCAAACTATGAAACATTATTGTTACCACATTATACATATCTACTTTTGAGCAGATATCCACAAACACGGTATTTAACAGTAAACACTGGTCTAAACATTCTAATATTCACCATATTAGTGTAAACACTCATACTAGCCTACTTTTATTTCATGCTGTGTTTTATTATCGAACATAAAAACATCATCGTGTCGTGCATGTATATAAATTTAGCATTGAAAGGTTGCCTACCTGTCTATAGTTCATATTTCAACATGTTTCTGTCTATATATATATATATATACACATACATTTTAGTCTGGCACCAGTTTAACTAGTAGCTACAATATGAAGTTTATGCAACAATAACATGCTTACTATTATGAGTGGAAATGTCTTACCTTAAAAATCTATCTCATCTTCAAATCACGTTCTTCTAATTCTTCTGAGGTAAATGCAAGGTAAACAGCACAGCACAAACTCGATATAAACTTTTGAACAGGAGTGTATATAGACAGTAACTTACATAATGTTTCATTGTCAACATAATTACTCCATTTTCTGCTAAATTGACCAAAAAAATAAACTATTAATGCTAAAAAAGAATGTTAAATAATGTAAAATATTGCACACAAAAAGAAGCAAAAACAAAGGTTGTCACTTCTGAACCCCTTCACTTCTACTTTTAACATGTTACATGACTATTCATTGGAAAATTAGTTTTTTACTGGAAAGCTTCTTTGTTTGATCTACTGTCACACTACTGAAAATGTCGTCATGGTATAGTATGTGTCGTTACTTCTATTTTAATTTTATTTAGATACTATAATATACCCCAACACTTCTCTGTATAGCCGTGATGTAATATCTCACTTATGTCACTCCCGGAAGGCTGTTCAGCAGTAAAAAACACATGTTGTTTTCCCCTCTAAGTCTCACCAGACCTTTCTTTCCAGTTCTGTAAGCTGTGGAGGAGTTGCTGTTAAAGGCTGCAGGGATCTGGGTCTGGTCAATAGATCCTAACCAGAAGCCAGTGACACCTGCTTTGTCAGGTTATTCTCTACACTAGTGATGCGATACAGCAGCGCCTGGCAGGTCTTTGTATGTAGAAGATTAGTGAATGTGGTATTAGCTTGATGAAAACAGAGCTGTTTTGTCTATCTTACATTTAGCTTTCAAACACCTTGCTTCATTTGTGTGATGGTTGGTATGATTTTGCGGTTGTGGGCATAAAATATAGTGTCAAAGGAAAACATTTTCTTAAAGGGGCCAAAGGGGCTGTTTATTTACACAGAGATGGTTTATTCATTTGTTTAGACCTGGCTTCAATACTCATGTTCATTAGTCATAAGAAAAAAATGGCAGTGTTCTTTCACTCTTTTATTTGAGGTAATGAAAAATGACAGTGTTCCCTGCGTCTGGCCGTAGCAGTGAATTTATCACCTGTTTAATTTCACACTCTGCTAGTCTGAAGTCAGCCTCATTGTAGACACAGACAAAGCGATATGAGGGAGCCGAGCATCACCTTGGGGCCGCGGCCCGCTTTTAATTGAATATGCGTTTACTAAATAGGATTATGCATTGGAAATAGCAACATAATAGCGTATAAAGCATCGGTACAGGCTCTGGATCACCCACAGGAAGAGAGTTTGGGAGAGGGCAAACCAGGAGAGAGTGTGCAGTCATCCATTACACACAAGAATCTTCTCATAAAGAAACTTCTGCAGGCTGTCAGGATGCCCTATTGCTCTTTATGTTGGATCACAGTTACAGCATCACAGTTACTCTAAGCCTACTGTCCAGGTTTTTTGGTAATGCCCATCTACAGGGAGACAAATCACAAGTAAACAGAAAACAGCCAACTAGTGCTGGGATTTATATCTTAAAAATGTATTTTTTGTATCTTTATTGAATGTTTTGTATTTTAGCCATTGTAGCCAACTGAATTTATTCTACAATACAATACATATCTAGTAAATATATCTACATATGAATAAAATATTTTTTCACACTATTTTGCACAAAATGAACACAAGAAAGATTATTTAATTTTTTTTCTTTATATTTTCCCAAATAAAAATAAATAGTGATAAACAGCAATATTTACCTACATATATTGCAAAATAAAACATTAATATGCGAGAGATTTGCATGAACAATTAAATCGAATACTCATTGAAACAGTTTGAGCTCATTGACTTAAATTAATCAAAATTACCAGTTCTTCAGTATTGCCATTTTTAATACTGACATTTAAATCTGAAGATACTCTGTCTTAAAGGCATAGTTCCCTCACAAATTAAAATATTGTCACCATTTACTCACCCTTATGTTCTTCCAAACCTGTATGACTTACTTTCTTCTGTGGCACGCAAAAGACGATATCTTGAGGAATGAAATACTTTTTTTGTCCATATAATGAATGTCAGTGGGGTCCGAAATAACATTAGACACCATTGGCTTTCATATGGATGGACAAAAGCATTTTCCAAAAAGAAAAGCCTGTTTAAAAATGTACACTTTTTTGATGCATTTAATTTGTCACTAAAGTCATTGGGGATATATTACAATACTGTATAATATGAGTCATAATTGTGTGTGTGTGTGTTACAAACCCATAGTTTGAGATACAGAGGTCAACAACATGTGATGAATGTGAATGTTGACTCTCGAGGGGAGAAATGAAAAAAGAGACTGAGGAAGAGAGAGGTTGAGGAGGTTTGTGTGTGTGTGTGTGTGTGTGTGTGCGCCAAAGTGAAGTGTGACATTTAGAAGGTCTCTGTGTGTGTTTTCATGGGAGTTATGCATTCACAGTAAGGCATCCCAGCCACCTGCAACAAACTAGCAGTTAAGTCTGAAGGTCACTGTCCTCGCCGCTCTCCTGCCTGACATTTTTTTCTCCCCATTCTCCCGTATCTCTCTCCCCTTTCCCCATCATCCATCTCCTCATCGGCCAGAAAAACCTTTCACCTCTTGATGGTACCATCTGCTTTTTTTTCTACTAGAGTTATTCTGTGTCTGTTTACCCACTTTGCTTTCACTCTAGCTCTCCGTCTTAATGGAAAACGCATGGCTAAATGGACCCCATAAGTACTTGATTGAGTTAAAGAGACGGAAAAGAGCTTTGAGGACAGTTGATGTGTACATCTTGTTGTTCGCTAATTGAAAGGTTTGCATGCGGCGCGGTGACATCAAAGGACTGAAACTAATTAGCACCTCCTCCCTCACTAGCATCCACTCACTCCACTAGGTTTATTTATTCACCTTTTTACTTTGCATTTTTTTCCCTGCTACTAACGCACAACAGAACCGGGAATCTAAATGCTTTCATCTAATGCTTAGCTTGCACAATTGGGCTTAGGTCGCCCAGAGAGCCTCGTATATGGAAATGATTGCCGCTGCTGCTCTGTGGTCAGGCTTATCAGAGTCAGAGTTTAGGAACCTTCATTTAAGCGTATTATTTACAGTATCGCTGATGAGAGCGTGCATCGAATCGGTAATGGGTCGTTGCAGTGCTAAACTGCTTTGTGCTACTGTAAACGACTGGAATCGCTCTTGCTATCAGGTCTGTTTCATACTGCACACGTAAGCAGCACATTTATTTACATGCTCAAATTACCGTTTATAGTATTCACACTGCGTGTGTAAGAAGCACAGTGCTGTGTATCAGAAATGCAGCTGTGAGAAGTTGTGTTTTTTTAGCTTTTTTTTCTGTTCTTGACTTGAAAAACACTGAAAATTTGCTTTAAACCTATTTATGAAAAGTCTTTTATTACCAATAATGAAGCAACATAACAATGATGCAATACTGTTTGATTTATTTTCTTTAAAAGAAAAGAAATCAGCAAGGATGCTTTAAATTGATTAAAAGTGACGTTTTTCATTTTTTTAAATAAATTCTGTTCTTTTGAACTTTCTATCCATTCCACCAAAAATATTAACTCTTTCCTCGCCATTGACTCAATTTTCTGTAATTTATGAGACAACTCTTCCCCGTCATTGGCAGAATTTTCCAAGTGGTACTCACTGACGACCAGCTCCTCCTCTCTGGAGCTCCTATGGGGTGGAGGGATAGAGTTGTGGGTAGGGTTGGGGTAGAGTTAGGGTGTGGTTGGATATTCTTGCTCCACCCATTAGGCCCAAATTACATTTGCTCCTCCTCACTTGAGCTCTAGCGAGGAGGAGCTACACGTAAGCTCCACCCATTTGCTCTGCAGAGAGCAGTTTCTCGAATTTTCTGGCTTTCTGTGTTTTCAGTGTTATACAGTTGGAGGCCCTATAACACATCTTCTGAAAGAGTACTGAATCTTCTGATCAAACAAGCGATAGCATGTGTAAGCAGATGCATACATAACATTACGCGATCATCAACATTAACCAGCATATAAATCAAAACCGCCTAATGTTACTGAATGAAATGATGAGCTATAGGACTGTGAAGCTTTGGGGCTGTTGATGGACTCGATCTACTCCATCTATGTTTTGATAACCCTTCTCAATCTGATCCAGACGTAGTCTTTTGACAAAAATGCGATTTTCTCAGCTTTTTTGAGACTTACTCACATTCAAATGTTGATTTAAAAAAAAAGAATGCATGGAGCTAGAATAAAACAGGCTTTTTAGTTTTAAAGCAGAGGGCCTGTTCTTTCTTTTGGTATATTGCATGTTCAGATATTCATACAACCAAATATTCTGGGGGGGCATGAAACTTTTGAGAAAATTATCAAAAATGCTGGTCCTGGCTGGCAACTTCTTTCAAAAACGCTGGCGTGGAACAAGTTGAGCACCAAATCAGCATATTATACTGATTTCTGAAGGTTCATGTGACACTGAAGACTAGAGTAATGATGCTGAAAATTCTACTTTGTCATCACAGTAAATTACATTTTAAAATATATTCAAATAGAATATATGGTAATAATATAGTAATAATATTGTTATTATTAATAACATTATTAAGTGTATTTGGTATAAGTACGTGTAATGTAAAACAGACCTTGTGCTTCCCCTCTGCTTCAGGCAACTTGTAACGGTTTGCACTGTTTGCTGTGCCATAATAATAGACAATTGGTGGCTAAAAAAAAAAAGAGTAAGATTGTAATAATCATAGTCAAATGCTGCATTGTTTCCCCTTGGAGTCTCTTGGCTGATCTTAACAGGACTTTGCCCTAAGGCGTAAATTCAGCTCAGCTCACATTAAGCAAAATACCGAATCTCTTCATCACAGTGTCGGATCGCTAATGCTCTGAAGCAGAAACCTGATGTCTACACAGTGAGCGCGTTTGCTCTCTGTTTCACTGTGGCCAGGGTTTCAGGCTTGAGTGCTTTCATTGTTTCCAGGCTGAGGCTAATGAATTGAATGGCCTCCACGAGTATCGACCTTGCAAGGCTGTCAGTGTGAATTTTTGATAAGACGTATCAGTGCTGGCCAACCCCTAGCCTTTACTGTGACCAGCTCCATAATCCGTTTAAGGAGATGTTTTATGCTAAGTGGCATTTCCACCTATACACAATCGATTTTCCCATCAGGGCGCACGGGGTTGCCCTACCCAGCTTTGCATGTGAAGAAAAGAGCATGTTTAACTCGCAATGGAGACGTGTGAAAGAGCGTCCACAAGCATTTGCTTTTTTCTCATTAATCAAATCAATGTACATGCGGAATTTATGTTTGCCTTATGCAAATGATATGCAGACTTAATTGTATATAAGAGTGTTTGCAGAGAAAGCCTCCAAATGAAGCCAAATCAAAGACATCACATTATTGTACCAGACACTTGTTAAATACAAATATATTATATACATCATATATTTTTATCAATATATTTTAGGCTTTGCTACAAATGCTAAAAGTTTTTTGCGTCAAGCACGCCGTCGGGAACTGAAGCAAGTTTGACTAAAATACACTCTTTATTAGAGCTGCTCTGCAAAAAAGAGGGGTGCTTTATATCGTCAGCTTTGTTGACTAATGAACTTTAATTCTAATTAAATAGGCTAGATAAGAGTGTGTTTAATGAGGCGACTCATCTGAAGAAAAACCCTGACGATTTCCTCACAATAATCCCCAAAGTTTGGATCCTGGAGAGACTCGAGATTTATCCGTTGGGGTTTCACACAGAGAAACTAACCCTGAACTCGCACCGAGGCTAATTGCACCCAGTATAATGTAGTGTGATCACTGACGCCACGCATGATGGCCGTGAAACACCCGTTCACATTGATTTCCTGTGCTAGATAACAGATTGTCAGTTATTTCACTTCTAATCGAAATGTGAGGGACACTTTGCTGGTGGCTCACTTCTCATTTAATTTATTTTGTTAGTTGCAGGGTAATTCCATAGCTGGTGGTCATTATCTTGTACTTCCAGCAGTGCCTTTGCTTCAATCTTCACTTCCACGTGAAGAAAATCTCAATATTTGCTGCTCCATATGAGCTGAATGTCTAAATACTTTGCCATGCACTGTCCATTAATTCTTGGCAGTCAAAGTTAAAACAAGATGCTTGAGTACCTGGGAATATTTTTTTATTTTATTAGAAGACAATGTGCGGCAAACTGATATGCAAATATGTGTTTGCATGAGTTCCCCAGTGTCTGCGTGTCTTATTTGTCTTTGCTCTATGTGACTTCTAAAGTACTTACCCACTATTATGCTCAGATCCCAGGAATTGTGTCATATTGCTTGTTTATCTCTCTGAAATCAGTGTTAGTGATTTTATTAGTTCTTTTATACAGTGTAAATTGAGGTGTGTGCGTTGTTGCTCTTTGTGTGGACAAAGCTACATTTTGGGGAACTCCCTCGTGGTTCTTATGAGGAAAACAGCTGTATGTTTGTAAGGAAGCACGATGTATCGGTTCCATATAATTTACTTTTAGATTACCTTTGCCATCATGTAACGTCAAAAGTTAATTTTTAAAAAGAAAAAAAAACTACTTAAGTTCATTTTTAAAAAGACTGATAATAAATTACATTGCGAAATGTAATCATTAGCAGGTCTGATAAATAATTAATAAAGGTATTTACGGGAGTGACAAACTAATTTTATAACCAACCTCACACCAGTAAATTTTCAGGACCCACATCCGCATTCTTGGAAAACCCACACTTTGTGAATTGAACCGGACCGGACAACTAGTTTTCTATCATGTCATACAGCGTGTCTACCTTGTGTTGCGGGATTTAATTTGTGGTTTCGGTAACTTACTTTGACAGAGAAATGAGCTGTGTGTCATCTGAAGGGTTTAGATCACATCACTGTTCTACACCGGAGCTGTTCCCGTCAATTTTGTGTTCTACGCACGACTCAAATAATCCGCTCTCCACCCAGGTATAAAAGCTGTTGACGGTTAATGGAGATTTGGACTCGTCATATCAAAAGTGATAAGGATTGGTCCCTGTCAACATGGTTACTTGTTTGAGAATACGGGCTTGACTCCCGTTGCACGGTCATACAGACAGTATTCTAGTAAGTTTCAGTTTGAACAGGACATTTCGAGACTCGTACCTGTAAGTAAATGCAGTTGTCAATCCCAAAAACTGACAGTGTGACCGTAGCCTATGTGTGTGTTCCAACAGACTGCGGATCAGGAGGCTCAGGCTCAGGATCTGAGACCTGCGAGCAGGATCGTTGTAAACGATATGGCGGATGGTGGGATGAAGACACGGAGGACGAGCGCTGCATATGTGACTACACCTGTCAAACTGTGCCTCACATCACGGTATGTCCATTCACAATTGACAAGCAATCGAAGAGAGGGCCACCCATACATTGCCCAAGCATTTGACTAGTTGAAACGTGTGCTAAATCTTGTTGAATCCATTAATCGTGCCACGTTAACCTCTCCGTGAACATTTGCAGGTGTGTGGCTCAGATGGGAACACGTACACCAGCGATTGTGAGCTGAAGAAATCCAGGTGCGAGAAGCAAATGGACCTGCTGCTCCAGAGTCAAGGCCCCTGTCCAGGTGAGAGACCACCTTTCTTTTCCTCTAATATTTTTGTTTTCCTCAGGATCTGAAGAATAACACTCCAGGAATTCTGACAGGACGGTTGTTATAGAGTCACTGCAGAAGAATGCAGCATATCTTTGAGCTTAGGGGGCTTGTGTAGTCCAGACCTGAGCATCTAGCACTGAGAGAGGAAGAGCATGGCTCTGTGATCAGAGCGGTGTGAGATTCCCTCAGGCTTCAAGCAGAGCTTGACTCCACTTGGGCGCACACATGCACGTGCTTTTTTCTCTGCGCTCTCTCTGACTCGCTGCACCCTCATCCTTTATCTATGGTTTTCTCAAACTCAGGGTTTTCTGCTTCAGAGCCTCACAGGCCCTCTAGCCAGATCAGTCATGCTCCTTCAGTGGTCGTGGAAAATAAATCCTTTTGGAGAACTTTCAACCGGTGCATCTGCTTCCCATTGGCTGAGCTCAGATCAATGGAAATCTCATCGGGCCTTGCATTTGATATGCACGCCGCAGTCTCTCCTCCCCCATTTTCTGACCTGTGCCTTTGAGAGCTGAAGGGTCTCCAGAGCACCTTGCTGCCTTTTGCTAATTGGAAATTAGGTTTCGGTGACCTCTAGACAACCTTGCTCTGAGTCTCCTTGCAGTGAAGATCAGAGAATGCTTGGCTAATAGTGACGCTCAGAGGAAATAAAAGACTGAGTTGAGCTGTGCAATAAAGTTAAATGTAAAATATTTATACTTTTTGCTTTGTTCGATATATATTTCAATATTAATGTGCTTTAATTTTTTTCTGAAGAACCACCATATATACAAACACAAACCATTGAGTCATTTAGGTCATTTAAGATTCACGGACGTCAATTAATCATCTGTTTTAACACTCTCAACACTCTTAAGTTCCGAGACAAGGATTTATCTAATCTAAACTAATTAAATCACCATCAAAAGCATGCAAATATATGATAAATATTCTCCTGATTTCAGTTTAGTGTGGAGAAACAAACAATGAATTTTTTTGTAAAATATTGGTTCTCACAGTTTGTTGATTTTAATAAAAAATAAGCTTAGCGGAACTGTCTTTTTTTTAGAAGAACCTTGTTGTTTCAGGAAGGATTGGGTTGTAGAACAAACCAGTGTAGAGGGAGGATGGTGAAGAATCGCAGTGAGACGAGAAGAAAGGATCAAATTAAATGCACCTTTGTCATAATGGACTCAGTGTGGAGAGGAGAAGTTTAATGAGGTGTGGACAAAACCCATCTCTGAAGCCACAAAATGACACATCACTATTATGCCCCAGGACATGTGTGCTCACGCCAACGGCTTCCTGATTTACGACAGCCCAGTCCTGTACTTGAAACCACAAACCTGCCACCTCACAGCCATTCAGCTCAATGGCCTAGAGAAGAAACGCTTGAAAAGAACAAGTGTGGAGAGACTGAGAGAAAAAATGACAACACAGATAAGACAAATAGGCACCTGCCATCTGCCTCTGGCACAGCGTTATAGTTAAACACCGCAACAAACTTCCCACGTATGTGAGCAGTGAACACTGGAATAGTGTAATTAGGTTAAAGCGAAAGTGGACTGACATCAGCTCGTCCTGATTTGCACTCCTGTGCATTTGCGTCCATAAATGCAGAGTCCATAAATCTTTGTTTGACACAGGACGGCGTAGGTGTAAACGGCACTATCTGAGATGAGAACAAATGGAGACAACAGGCCCCTGAGAATGTGTCAAATGTCACCCACCAGACATTCGACGAGAGGTCTATTGTTTGTTTTCACGGCTGGTAATAGCATCATTTTTTCCTGATTTTGAATTGGTGTCAGGAATTGTAAATAGAATTGTTATCTGGCAGCCAGTTGCAGGCTCTTCCACCCCTGCTCCTTAAGCGATTCTTATTGTGTTGTACTAAATTGCATTTCAGCTTGGATTGTTTAGTTTAATTTGTCTTAAGAACGCTGTGGATCTCAATATGTCTCTCTCTCTGCCCCACCCACCCCTGTTTGCACTGTATCTTCTCTCTAGATATCATATCAGCTCCTCCAGAGCTCGTTTCCTCCCAGCACTGTAGCGAAACTGTTTACGGATGTTGTCAAGACAACAAGACCGCTGCCCTGGGTGTTGGACTGGCTGGGTGTCCTAGTATGTATAACTGTCATGAACCATTAACTAACTACCTTGTTCAGTGCCATCCAGCTGAGTTAGTCATAATAGGCCAAACAAATTGTGTTTTTTTTTTTGTTTTTTTAAGAAATTAATGTTTATTCAGTTTGGATACATTAAACTGATAAAACAATTTTGAGTAAAGACATTTTTTAATATTTCAAAAGATTTCTATTTCAAATAAATGTTGTTGTTTTTTTCTATTTATCAAAAATCCTGGAAAAAAATGCATCCCAGTTTCCACAAAAAGCAACACAACAGTTTTCAATATTAATAATAATAAGAAATGTTTCTTTAGAAGCAAATCAGCATATTAATATAATTTCTGAAGGATCATGTGACTCTGAAGACTAGAATAATTGCTCCTGAACATTCAGCTTTGCCATCACAGAAATACAAATAACTTTTAAAATATATTACAATATAAAACGGTTAATCTAAATTGTAATATTATTTCACAATATTACTGTTTTTACTGTATTTTTTTATCAAATAAATAAAGCCTTGATGAGCATAATATACTTCTTTCAAAAGCATTAAACAATTGTACTGATCACAAACTTTTGAACAGAAGTGTTTGTTGATGCACATCAATGTTATTTTTAATATTTACATAAATATATTCATACTCATATTCCCATTCACGTATTCATATTAATAGTGCCATTGAAAGTATGTCCTACATGCCTAGTGTTTGTAGAAGTCTGAAACACTGTATCCTGACAAGACGCAAAAACCATCAAACGTTGCAGCGTAGGAGTGATATAAAGTTGGGAGAGGGCATGTTATAGGCTCATGAATATTAATTATATGATGTAACGTTTGTCCAACAGTTGCTGAAGCAAAAGAGTGTGCACTATAGCTATATTAGAAATGAAGTGTTTGTTCCCTTCATCCACTGCCAATGCAACCGGTTGATCCTGACATTTTATATGGCTTGCTAGCAATTTTTTTCTTCACAGTATGGCCAATCAAAATTAAATTAATCTTAATAATAAAGATTAAAAAACAAGTGTTTCTTTATCCAAAAAGTGAGTGGACAGACTTTTAAGAGTTGGGAGACCTTGGGATGCACCAATATTAGTTATTCTGCTCAATTCCAACCAATTACTTTCGTATTATGGCCAATAACAGGCCAATAATATTATGGACTAATAGTCCCCGCCCACAGTCTAATCTCATTAGTCCAAAATCTCTCTTCCACTGTGTATTAAACATTTAATATGTTTGTGATTGTGTTGCATGCCGTTTCTTTTGTCGCATCAATTGTGTACCTCTAAAAAGCACTTCTTCTTCTTTAGGTGTGTGTCAGTGTAATCATTACGGCTCATACGGAGGCACCTGTGACCCCTCCACCGGCCAGTGCTCCTGTAAACCCGGCGTCGGGGGACTCAAGTGCGACCGCTGCGAGCCTGGATTCTGGAACTTCCGAGGCATCGTTACAGAGAACATGAGCGGCTGCACACGTAAGCGCCCCTCTCTTCTTCCGTTCCTGGAGATTTGCTTTCAGGGCATTTTCTGTTAAATGTGCTAAATGTTCCTTTCTAATCCAAAATCCGAAGTGACAACCTACTCGTTTAACGTGCAGTATCCTTCCGGCCTCAAATGCGATTTCTGTCAAAACAAGCATTTCGAGTTAAGCCTCCGAGCCACCGCTGGTAATGGGAATCTTGTGAGAGTGCAACATGGCTTGACCTATAAGTTCTGCCTACAGACCAATAACGCCACTCTGACGCACGTATATGTGTGTTTGTACAGCGCTACAAAACCGAGGATAGAAAAACAAGGATGACTGAAACAGTTTGTGCTCTGTCCCAGGGGTCCTCGGAGCATTAGCACATTCTGTAGCCACGTTCGCTCTCACCCCAGGGTTTCTTGACCCTGTTTTGAACTCCACCAGACTGCGGTCATTGACACAGAGCGAGCGCTTTGCTGTAGCTGTGGGGTCACAGATTGGAGCAGCTTCAGATTGCCTGCATGCATTTGGTGGATGTGTGGATGTTTTTGTCAGAGTGAAATTGAAGAGAAAGAGACAAGGAATCTAATCAAAACTGTTCAAGCAGATAAGGCTGACAGCCCCCTCTCTCTTCTCTCTCTCTCTCTCTCTCTCTCTCTCTCTCTCTCTCTCTCTCTCTCTCTCTCTCTCTCTCTCTCTCTCTCTCTCTCTCTCTCTCTCTCTCTCTCTCTCTCTCTCTCTCTCTCTCTCTTTCTCTCTCTCTCTCTCAGCGTGTAACTGTGATGGAGTGGGCTCGGTTCGTGACGACTGTGAGCAGATGTCAGGGCTGTGCTCATGTAAGCCCGGAGTTAAGGGCATGAAATGCAACGTGTGCCCCGACGGCAGCAAGATGGGAGCCAACGGCTGTGACAAAGGTAACGCCGGGATTTTAATTAGCACAAACCTTAGATAATCTCTCCACGATTGCACTTCAGATGCAGCTAGTTTATGATTTTAGGAATTATAATTAGGTCTTAGAATTTTCACAATGTTGGGTACAAGTAGAAATAACTCAAATTAATTAATAGCCTAAAAGTTCTCTGACAAAAAAGGCTTTCAGTGTCATGTTGGAACCATGGCATTGTGGAAAGTTCTCAATGGGACGTGGGTTCGAATCCGGCAGTATGCATCAGATGAGGTACCATCTGAGGTATTAACAAAATATCTGTACCAAATTGATTATCGTTCTAAATTGGTGCTTTATTATTATTATTAAAAAAAAATTGTTTTAATATATATACTGTACATAAGGCAATTTTGGATGATTACATGCCCAGTTTCTCATATTTTTTCACATTTAGATTACCTTTATCATGATAATACAATATGTAACTAATCAAATATTTATCAAAACCATAATATTTAGCGTATCTGAAAATAAATATCCATTTCAAAATATGACACAATATTTTAATACCTTATTTGTAGATCTAATAATAAGATATATATTTTATTATATTTTAATAGTTATTTTAGTATCCACAGCTGAGGCTACACTATCACATACAATAAAAGTAAAAAAAAAAAAAGTAAAAAAAAATAATTTACAAATAATGCTCCACTTAATACAAAATATTCTGGAATCTTTAGCAAATGACTGTAAAACTATATGTTTTCATTTGTCCTACATTCGACTATATGCTATAATCAGAATAAATCGTTGAAAAGTTGAAATCGGTTCAAAGTTGAATCTTCAAATGCGCAGCAGGGGTGACAGTGAAATGCTATCCTGATGTGACCCCCAGTGTTGGCTTGGTGAGTAATTTGGAGTCACCCTCAGCTATTGACAGGAAGTGAAGAGCTTAATGAACTCAACAATCCCAGCATAGCAGTGCTCATGCAGCGTTCCTGCCAGATAAAAGCTACCACATGAAAGTGCAGAAGAGGAATCCAGTCAATGCTGCTGGCCAGGCAGTGCAGCCCAGCGCTCTGATGTCAGAGTAAAGAGTAGACTTCTGTGGCAGGGAAAGGTCCCAGCTCTGCTGCTGATGCAAGTCCGTCTTTCTGATGAATTTATGTGGTGGAGGTCGTAGGGTTTGTATCAGAAGTGGATTAACAAGAAGCCCACACTGAAATGTCCAGCATTTATTGTGTTTTGGGATGCTGGACTGCTTAAAGACCCCAGTTTGGTTTCTGTACCCTTAAAAGTTCAAAAGATCCCTTTTTGTTTTAGTATTAAATATAGGTTATGTGTTAACCAGAGGCCAAACTATTCCACAGGACCTCAGGCACCCAAGTCCTGTGATGAGCTTGTGTGCCACTTTGGGGCATCATGTGTGGAGGTGAAAGGACAGGCTCACTGTGAGTGCCCATCGCCAGATTGTGACGAGAAGAATAAGACCAAGGTGAGGTGGCATAGGTCACAGATCCACCTTAAACTCTACAACTACTATCTAATGATGAAGATTTCTTCCCTAATAATGGACATGGACATGTTTGTGGACAGGTATGTGGTTCTGATGGAGTCACCTATGCAGACCGGTGCCAGCTGAGGACCATTGCGTGCCGACAAGATAAGGAGATCACTGTGCAGCATTTAGGCCAGTGCAAAGGTGAGATTAGCCTCTTGTACTCAATTTTGTTGTGTATGTTTTGCATTATTGCATACAAACGTCAAAGAAAGTATGAATGATAAATTTAGAAGGTCAATGGCTCACAAAGTCAGTTAAAGACCTCATGATTCCTTTTACTGAGAATTTTTTTTTTCTTTAATCATTGTCATGGTCTATTTTTCAGTAGAATATATTAATATCCATAAACCAAGACAAATACTTAACAGAAAATACATAGAATTTTTTTTTCAGGGAATGCATTTTTGTATTTTTTATTATTATTGTATTGTATTTCTAAATTTAGTCAGAATGATTTTTATTGCATTTTTAACACAATTCTGTGAGGCAACAAGAAAAAAGTTTAAAAAACAATAATAAAATAAAATTCACAAAATATTCTCTGAAAAAAAAGACATATTACACAATATTGCTTTAAAATCTTGTTTTAGGGATGTTTAGGTGTTTTAACTGGAAATAAATAGAACAATTCTGATAAAGGAAATGAAGTTTTGCAGGGTTTGCTGGGGAAAACTGCCTGGCCCATAGGTAGGAAGGGGGTCACTAAGTCTGCAGGTGTGTGTGTGGGGTGGGTCTGGGGGGGTTCGATGTGGATGGTGGATGTTCAAGGGGACAGGAAAGCTGCCTGACAGATGCTCCCCTGCAGATAGAGCCGTGCTGCTTGGCTTCAGGCTGGAGTCTTTGAATCCCCTGGAACTGGGCGACATTTGAGCTGTTTGATTTGCATCACCCCTGTGTGGATTAGGGGGAGTTAACTGCACAGCCTGAGCGAAGCACCTGCAATCCGGCTGCTGATGCGTCAGGAGACCTGTTTTGGGTAGAGCAAGCTGTGTAAAGAGTAAGGCATCTCTCCCTTTCTCTCTTATATCGTTGATCGGTTGCTCTGTACATGCGTGGGCACAGGGACCTGGTTGAAGGCCAAGGTTAAGACTTTCATGTCGGCTGTATGTAAGAAGCACTATGCCAGCTCACGTCAGAAGGCATTCCTCCGCAGAGAGCTGCTCCGAGATGGGCATGGCTCATGGTGGACACTGCCAGCTGCCGATTCTTGGATCAGGGCCAATGGCAGGTGCCAGACATTTTCAACAGCAGCCCATGCAGCCACTCTGTCAGACCTGTTAATGCCACATAAGAGATTCGGTTTCATTGTCAACTGCTGCAGCTTGATCTAACACGACTATACGTTCCATTGTTTCTCATAGCTATAACCAGGTCCATATGGATTCTCTGTCAACTCATTCAAAATTTCAGAACATCGTTCATTCCTTGCCTTCAACATAAAATCATTTTCAACCCCATTTACTTTTGTAATGCGCATTCTTCATTGTTGTTATTGTGAATAATTCATTAGTGCATGTTATTTCAGAGGGAAAAAATTCCTTAATTATTTTTAATTACAATTCGAAATTACTCTACCTCTGAAATGTCCTTCCTTTTCTGCTAATGTCACTAAGGTTATTTGGTAATATTAACCAATTCTCCAAATAGCTATAGCTATTTTGTTTAGAGATTGTTGTAGAAAAACTCAGTCTATCTCAATTCTGGCATGTAACACTCATTTGTCACTAGTTAAGCTAATTTATATTTGGCCATTTTGATGTGGCAGTATATGGCCATTTTTTGGTACTGATTTACTATAATTTGAATTGTATTATATTTCATAAAAATATTAATTTTACAAAAGCTTACAAATTTTACAAATTCTAAGTTTACAAATCTATGCACTTATTTGCATTGTCATTTGAATTTTCATTTTTGCAAATTTATTGGCTAATGATAACAAATGAGTACATAATTTGAGTACATTTTTTATCATTATTATATTCATTAAAAAACATATCGGTCAACCTCTAATTGTCACCATCCAATCTGTTCTTGTTCAACAGCAATTGAGGTTGACTGAATAGTTATTTGATTATGCTTTCAGCTCACATTTGGCAGATTAAATCTGGGCCTGGTTATGACACAACACACAACAAACTGATGTTTAGAGATCACGATTGAACCATGATCCCTGTAGTCATTAACCAGAGCACCTCTCTGTCTTGCTCTGTTTTTTGGCGTTACCTGCCTGTATGACAAGAATCCAGCTGCTATTCTGTGTGTATTCAGGGATCTGGGAGGAAGTAAAGAGCGGCTTAGGTTGGATCTTCACCAGCCTAGGGCGGAACTGGCAACAGCAGCGCTATTTAATAATTTCTTCTCCGACTTGTGGGGTAAAACAGGCCCGGGCTGCAGACTGCTCGGCAGCCCTGAGGTGGAGGGGTTAGATCACAAGCTCATTTCACGTGTGACTGGATGTGAATTAGCCGAAAGCCTGCCTTTCTCTCTATATTTCTCCCGCTGATCTCTTTGACGCTTACCCATCATCAACTCTTCTTGATGACAAACGGTGCTATGAAATGCCACACGGAGTTACTCCTAATGTTGCCATAGCAGGCAGCAGATGAGGCAATCAGTGGCACATCTTGGTACATGACGTAGGGTGTTCAGGGTCTGGAATGGCTGAGAAACTTTTGGCTCATCAAGAGTCCATGTCTTGGCAGTTCCCTGCACTCACATATGGTGTCATCACCTGTACATTTGCTGTAAATTGGCAGCCTACACATTAGCATATGGGACGGTCGGCTCTCGGCGGAGATGTTAGTTTTGGTTATCGTTTTTGTTCTAAACAACATTTTCCAGGTTCAAACCCAGTTTATCTCTCTGTCAGACCACAGAAAAGAATTTCAAACCATCCCTCAATGTGTAAAAATAAACTTAAAATGTAAATCCATGGGGCAAGGCATTACAACAAGACTGACATTAAAATACACAGTTTCGAAGGTCTGCTGAGATAAAAGTGCGTACTAACCTTGTCTGGTAAAGGCGGTAAACCCTGCTATTACTATTAGGTACTATTTACAGAGTGAAAAATCCTCCCACAAGAATTATGTCGTATAACCTGGAGTTTATCCGCCTACTACAACAGTAGTACCACTGCTATAAGGACGTTTAAACTCACATTTTGTATATAAGAATTTATCTGTTTTAATAAAAAGATGGCATGAGCATTAGTGTAAATTACCGTGATGTACCCTGATTTGATATTTTGTATTGGTTAGCCCCACCCCTCGTTAAATCTCATTGGTGGGAAAATCTGCTCTACAAACTGTAGTTTAACAATGTATTGATTGGTCGTTGTGTTGTGGCGCGTGATATTTCTGCTGTCAGTGTGGAGAGACTTGAGGCTGGAATCATATAGCCTGACTACGTCAGACTTCGTACTTCCGCTCTATTTCAGTTCGCTTCTGTACTCAGTCTGAGACATTGACATGTCTCTCAGTTTTCCTCCGGCCTGAAAACAGCCGGCCAATCAACGAACAGAGAGCGGGCTGAGAGCCGTGACGTAGACGCTAAGCACGCTAAGATTGTATTTTAGGTTAGGGAAATCTAAAACGACCACGGATATGGAGACACGGGATGCAATTCGCTCTGTTGTGGAGAATATTCCCGCCATTTGCAAACTGAAGCCCGAACAAGAAGAGTGTTTGTTAAACATTTTGAATGGAGGTGATGTTGTGGCCCTACTCCCGACAGGTTTTGGGAAAAGTTTAATTTATCAACTATTACCGATCGTCAGCAAGAAACTGGGCAGGCCAAAGGCCGGCAAGGCGATAGTTGTGATTGTGTCCCCATTGGTTGCACTCATGGAGGATCAGGTTAAGGAGGCAGCAAAACTCGGTCAGCCATGTTCACTCCGGTATTTCGCTCGATGGTTTCGTTTTCGCATCATACATGTGTTTACAGTGGAAGTTCGATGCGGCTGAGCTGGCGAATAACACACGTCATAACCAAACGTTATGTGATTGTCTTACGGTGCCAATCAACCACCCCCACCTTCCCCCCATAACCCAACCCCCCCCGCCCCCCCCCCCCCCCCCCCCCCCCCCGCCGAGAAAGAAACCACTTTCCAATTATGCCATTCCAGACTCTGTCTACGAAGCAAAGCGAAGTAGCAGAGTTTGGTATTACCAGGCTAGGAATCAAGACAAGACAAGAGTTATACTTGTTTTTACTAACTGAAGGATGAGTCAAAATTATTTACTGTGGTATTTGATGGCATTATATACATTGTTGATAGAGCTTAACTTGTTTCACCTTTACCCCTTTCATTTCTTAGTTTCTCTGCCTTTCTCTTTCTCTCTTCGCCTCTTTCAATTTCCGCCCAAAACACAAGTTGTATGAAAAGACAGAAAGCCATCTTAATAACAGCCTTTCAAGAGTAAGTATACGGCAATGCCAACTGAAGATGACAATGATTTTTGCGTCTCCTAATTGTTCACCCTGCTTCTCTGAAAACCAAACGGAGCGTTAAACTTGATTAAGGCGAGCTGACTGCTCCCTTTGGCAGTTGCTCTCTTTCAGCGTACGTATTTGTGTCACAAAACCCAAAGCTGGGGCGGGCGACTCAAATCCCACACCCCTGATGCTAACGCTACGCTGAGCTCCTGAATGACAGGTGCAGCCGAGTCGAAATAAGAAAACGGATGCCGTGACAAACGCCGATAGCATCGGTGCTCTCCCACACAAAGCTAGTGTATCTACACACTCGCTCCCTCTCGCCCAGGCTGTGACAGCCGGTCTGATAGAACTAGTATTTCTGTAAGGTATCGTATTTCACACCTCGTCAGCTACTCGCTGTTCAAATGTGAGATGATTAGCATGTAATTAAGAGGCTGTGCTAGCGTGTTATCAGGTTCCCGACCAAGCGCGGTTAGCCTGTACACGGGGGATCCGTTAAAGTTGAGCACAAAGCCACGGATGATTGGGCGCGTGGATGCCTCGGTCCCTATTGTGGCGAAATCTGTCTCAATTCGTCCACACCACAGTTATTATTGTCTTCGCAATCTTTAAATATGCATCTTTGATGAAGGCTCTTGCATTGGTAATGTCTTTAAGTTTGAGCTCAGCTGCTGCAGTGGAGAGATTTGCAAGTGTGTTGACAAGGCTGCAGTGGTTGGACCGTCGACGGATGCCTTCATGAAGTGAGGGCTTCCTTTGAAGCTGCAGCTAAACCCTGCTTTTCTGCCCTATTTATATCAATCATTCATCACTAGAGGCTCTGGCTGTCTGTGATTAAAGCCGCCCTACAGGAGGGCAACATCTGAATATGTATATATAATTCATATCTACAGGCACTCTCTCACACGCACAAGCACACTCTCTCGCAGATCAACCGTATTCTGCAGTCTCAAACCGAGTAGTATATAAACACTTCTGGTCAAGAGTCTGTGTAATGATCGGTTTGAGCTTGCAGAAAACCTAGTTTTTAAAAACCTCAAAGAATCACATCAAAAAGATGCAGTGCAGCAACCCGGTTCTTTTACATGTGCAGTTCATTAGTTTTGTGGGTAATTTAAAGGGATAGTGCACCCAAAAATGAAGGTTCTCTAAGGCTTGAAGAATAGCATGGCCATATAATAGTTTGTGTGTAGAAACTTACTTACCCTAATGTTGTTGCAAAACTGTATGACTTTCTTTCTTCTATGGAACATAAAGGAAGATAGTTTGAGCAATGTATCGGTGATAAAACCAACGTTTCCACAAATAATTTTACAGGTTTGGAACAACATAAGAGTGAGTAAATGACGACAGAGTTGTGGTTTTGGGTGAGCTATCTCTTTCAAGTCATTATTCACTGAAAATATTGACAGTCTACTCTAGCTCTCCTCATTGGTTTATAATACTAGAATGAATCGTTTTTTTTTTTTTTTTTCGAGTCAGATCTTTTCAATAAGTTGGTTGATTCAATTTACAGAACCGTTCTGAATTTTTCGTTTGTGACTAATCCAGATTTCACTGACCAGGAATATATTAGTCATTTAGACTATTTTATGGTGCTTTTGTGCCATTTTTGAAACTTGAAAGCTGTACTGTAGTCATTGTAAATGCATTAAAAAGAGCAACAAGGATATTAATTCATAATCTCTCCTTTTTGTTCTACAAAAGAAAGAAAGTCATACAGATTTGGAACAACATGAGGTGCGAATAAATGACAAAATGTTCATTTTTGGGTGAAATAATACTTTAAGGCTAAGCCCTTGTTGTCTGACTACAAAAGAGGCTCCTTGCAGGGGTTCAGGTGTTGGGGTGTAATGAAGCTTAAGTGATATGATTGAAACATGATGCTTTTTGTAGGCAGGAGTGGGATTATTCTTGGTGTTTCCGTGCATCTGATTTTGATATGAATCTGTGAGACATACAAAGCATTGCTCTGGAAAAGGTTCCCTTGCTGAGACCATGCTGAAGCTTTTTTTGTTGTTGTTTTAATGGCAAAGAGGAATGGGTGGGAGGGTGTAGGTAGAATTCAAAGGTGAGAAAGAAGGCTTACAGAAACATTTCCATCTATGCTTACCCATCATTCCATTCCTGCTTTCTCCCAGAATCCATTGAGCTGACGGCCAAACCCACCCCCTTCCCAACCACCCACCGCACCACCCCTCCCACCGCTCACGTCAAGATCACCAAACAGCGCCATGGCCACACCACCACCACCACCATTCTTAAGGATCTGGACCGCTTCGTGGTGGAGGCACTGCCTCCACCGAGGGTGGTCGAGGCAGAAAAGTTCTTCAGCTCTTTCACCACCCACCGCCCCACAACACCCTACAAACCACCCCGCACCTCATCCCCACCCGAGGACTCCAGCCCTTACTTTGAGGAGTCGGGCAGTGGAGAGCCCAGTGGGGACGACGAGATGGTGAGCGGAATGGAGGAGAGCGGAGAAGAGCCACTTGGTAATGCATTCACCATAATCTTTCAGTCATAAGAGGTTTAGGCATAATTGTCAAGAACAGATGACAAGAGATGATGAAATTCTCCTTTGTATGGACTGACCTTGTGTGTGAGATGACCTCTTCTCAAATTGTAATGGCATATCAATTTAACATTGCCCATTATCTCAGCGGCCATTATTTGAGAGGTTTTGACACCTGACATCCAACTGCTAAGTGAGCAATTTCATTTGGAATCACTTCGGTGAATAATTCACCAAAATGTCTGGCTTCAGTTTTTAACGCGCACTAACCTTATAAGTAAGCCACTTCTAAAGGTCATTTAGGCTGCAGTCGATGCAATGCCTGTTCCTTTCTCTCTAAACTGTTCTTGCATAGTCTGTATTGGTCAAAATTGTACATTGGCGGCCCAACACATTACAGAGGTATGATGTTAACACAGTCAAAGACTCAAGTAATCCTTAGCTGCATTCGCAAGTAGCTAGAGCTAGGGGGATTTGTAATACCAGTGGAAATTGTAATTCTAAAGAGCAGTTTTAGACCAAAATTTGTAAACACCTGTTTAGAAGTCATTGTTTTTATCCCATTTCTAAATGTGGATCTATTCATTTGGTCAACAATTCAGCACACTAGCATAGAAAATGAACAGTCATGGGCTCCAAAAGCCACTAAACTTCAATTTTGTTCTCCACTAGAGTCGCTTTTAATTATAGTTTCTTGGTTGACATACAAGTGACAAATTCTTCAATCCCTTCCCTTGTTTTTGTGCCCTTCTCCGCCATAGTACATTAAGTAGACCAGCTATTTTTATTCAGTTAACGCTAGCTCTACACACACACTGTTTAACTGCCTGAACTAGTATAAGAGAGAGCAGCAGGGCCTCAGATTTATTCTCTTGTCACTGTTGGACCGGAGCGCACTTTGACGCAGGACACATGAAGTCTGTCTGACATCGGAGTGGGAGGCATCTCTTGAGACTTTCTGATGACTTTCTGCCTCCCAGTGAACCAATAGCCTGTAAGGCTGAAGCTGTGTGGTCGCCAGCGTGCATCTCGGGGGCAGCGGCTCATAAATTTGCCTACAGATGCAATGAAACAACATCCAGGGATGCTTTCCAGCTCCATGCCAAAAGTCATTTTCCACCACTCACTATCTCGTTCACACGCTGCCTCTCTCATACTCACAGAGCCCTTGAACATCTGACAGCTTTATGGCTTGTTTGGCAAGCAGGAGATATTAACCCACAGTCCTAATCTTCAGTATGTATACTTGTAGGTGTGAGGCTGGCTCCATAGCCAAGACCATTTTAACAAGCTATTGTTAGTGTCTGCATAATGAGCATCTAAAGTAGGAATACATCAAGAAAGATATAAAAGTCATTTTTGAACCTACTCACAGATTGTTTGCTGCAAATCAAAGAGTCAACCATAGAGCCGTCTGCCTCTGTAATTATTTACACCATAATTTTCCTTCTCCACAACTTGACATGTTAATTGTGTTTGCAATCATACAAACATAGAGATATCAATTTAAACTAGAACAATCAAACACAGAAATCTGCTTGTGTGACGTCTTCATCTTTCTCTTCAGGTACAACAGTAGCAACTACCACTCTTCCCACAGCCGAGGAGCGATCCTCCTGTGACAACACACCTTTCGGGTGCTGTCCCGATGGGAAGACAGCCGCCATCAGCTCTGAGGGCACAAACTGCCCCTGTAAGTTCTCGTCAATCACTCTCTACCAAGTGTTGCCTATTTTATACTACAGATAATAGCACGTGTTCGTTTTTTAACTGTGTCACCATCTCGATGACTAAGACCGCCAACAGCGATATTCTTTTTATCCTGAAAGACTGAGAGGATGGTGAGGAGGAGGAGTTGGTAATGACAGGGGAAACTACATTTTATGAGCATATATTATCTCAGACGTTTCGAATGGATGTTGATTTTGTGTGCCCAGGGTCCAAAGTTAGCTCTTACCATGCACCAAATGCAAGTAAAAAATGTCCGTTACTCACCAGGAATTGTTATAATACATGGTTGAAATTTAATTGTATGTATATATGAAGGATCAGCCATTAAAAATGTAACGTTGGAAAATAATATTAAAAGGCTTCTACTTTAATATACAGTATTTTAAACTGTAATTCATTCCTATTATGGCAAAGCTGAATTCAGTATCACATGATCCTTCAGAAATTATTGTAATATGCTATTATTATTATCAATATTGAAAACAGCTGTGCTGCTTTATTCTTTGATGAATAGAAACTTCAAAAGAACATAGAAAGCATTTATTTGAAATATAAATATTTCGTAAAAGTCATTTTTGATCAATTTAATGTGTCCTAACTAAATAAAAGTATTATTTACTTTCTTAAGAAAAAATCATTCTAACCCCCAACTTTTGAACAGTAGTGTATATAAACAGTTCATTTTGGACCCTGAGTATGCCAGATGCATGGGAGCAGGTTCTGTGTCTGTAGCTGTAGCAAATGGATAAACCAATTCTACAGAATGTATTCTGTCTGGCATCAGACCAGATGCGTCAATATACCAGCAAACCTTTTTCTCGCACCAGCCCCATCTGTTTTATAAGAGCAGAAATTACACACAATAGAGACTAATCAATACACGACAGGCAGCCAGAAGCAGGCAGATGTTTTGTGTTCTCTGTATGGGAACACTAGGTCAAGTGCTCACGTCTCTTCTCATATCCGTCAGCTGGGTCTCGTAACTCCCCACCGTTTATTGGCGATGTGTCACAGCGGCCAGGAGCGAGGGCACTAATGTCCATTGCGTTCAGTCTCTGCTGTCAGCTCGAGCTCTCCCCATGTCTCTCAAGCACTAAGTGAAGGAGAACTCCCCCTCATATCAAGGTGTTTCACTGAAAGCTGAGAACAGCAAACAGTGCAGTCTACTCCCTGCAGCCTGAACGCGATGTAAGAGAGGTTTGCTTCCCAATCTTACGAGGGGAATTACGCCTCCCTAGTGAAAACCTAACTGTTTTACTAAGTTGATTACATCATGTTGAAATAAATCAATCTAGTTTTCCAGTACTTTAATTATACTAAATTCTTTTTCTACTAGAATCATGCTAATGTTATAATTCTCTGTGGTCCTGTATGGAGCAATTCCAAGCCTATGATTTTAACTAGGGGGCTTAGATGCCTCTACCCCACCCCTCTGCATAAAAGTTCAAATGTTAGTTAAGAATGAATTTGCATATCTAGTGTAAATTAAAATTATATAGCTCATTGTACAATAGTAAGCCATCTGGACGCTTTGTAACCAAAGATAAGGACACGTGCTAGACATGATGAGTTCATGCTAGAAATGATGGACCATAGCCATATTGTGGTGGGGAATTCAGGACTTTAATTTCAATCCACATCTAAAGCCTGATTTCTCCACATGTCTTTGCGCTCCGTGGGAAATTCCTGTCCTCAGATGTTTCCGATTTAGAATCCGATGGCAGTTTCCCTCCATCTCTCTTCACATTCAAATCTCCCCCATTTGCTCCTTTTTGAAAGTCCCATCAGATACGACGTGATGTGTGTCTGTGCAGAAAGACCCTTATCATGCCGTTTTAACCAGCTTCTGTCAGTCACCCGTTCCTGGGATTAGAAGACAATTACGGCTATCTTTCACGATAATCATACAAGTGCTTATCCCGATCCCAGCCAAGCTGGAGCCTGGCCGGCATGATTGATTTGGGCAATTTGTTCAGCTGATTACATGCTGCACAGAACCCAGCACCATGCCCGCTCCCTGCTCTCCTTCAGTCGTTTATTTATTATTTATTTCCCTCCGTCATGTAAAACCGGGCCTCTGATCCTCTCTCACTCTTTCCGCTTATTAGTGTCAATGAGAAAGGTCAGCAATAACCTGAAGGGAATGTTAAATGATGACCCCGACCCCAGTCAGGGCTTATGAAAGTGTCTTTTAACCTAATATTTGTGATATATTGTGCCATGTATGTAAGTGTTGCTATCTAACCGATCTCTCTCCACTCAGTCCTCCATGCCAGCTTTTGGGAAGAGTCTCGGTCTGGTAAACTCCAGTCCATCCTCCCTTCTAAGCCCTTCTCCCTGTACCTATCGTCCATACTCTCACATACTTTTCTATACCTCCACCTCCACTGCTAACAAACCTCTCTTTCCCCACTCGATGAACCCCACGACTAACCCCACAAAGGCTCCATCACTAACTTACAGACTGGCATTGCACCAACCACAAGTGTGTGTAGCTCAGAGTGGACTGCAACTGTGCGTTTCATTGAAGTGTCTTTTATGTAACCCTATGTGCTTCCCTGCCTTGTCCCGCAGCCACCATGCGTTTCAGTGGCTTCCTGCACCTGGATAAGGTAGAGGGTCAGGAGGTCTTCTACACGCCTGAGATGGAGGACCCCAAGTCGGAGCTGTTCGGTGAAACGGCCCGGAGCATCGAGAGCGCTGTGAGTGGTGCAGCTTAGACTTATGCTTGAGTTCACTTTCAGTTCAGCTTTGAAAAGAAGTTTCATTTTCGAGGCAAAAAAAAAAAAAAAAACATACAAAACAACATAAGTTTATGCCACATTAGTGCTGCTACATTTCTCAGTAGTGTGGCAGTAGCTCAACTGTTTTCACAATATTGTAGCTTTTCATGTAACTATTTTTCCCCAAAAAAGTAGCAGTGTAACTGAAACTTGATTGAAGATTAGTTTCTTGTTTTTCACAGGTTCTTTTCTTGTTTGTATCTACCTCTTATTTCTCAATCCAGTTCTGTTTTCTCTTGAGGTTGACCTCTTGGGAATTTATGCTGAATCAATTGTGATAATTGGTGGAATTATCCAGTGGAACAGGTTGAATACGTCTTTTGAAAAAATATGTCTGGTGTTCTGACAGTCTCTAGGAAAGCAGTGCGTTAGCTTAACAGCAATAAAATACAGACACTTGATCTTGAAGTTTGTGATCAACACAAATCCCAATATAGCATCAAGCTCAAAACTGTCCAGATGTTAAATATAGCCTAGTGGTCATCACCACACCAACATTTCAGTAGCCCATACCAATACTAATGAAATACTTCACTATACTTTAAATACTAATGATAGAAAAACTAATGTGTTACAGGTATGTGTTCATTTACACAGTGAAATATTAGTTTAAATATAAACAAAGGAAATTAAAACAATGGCATGTAGTTTTCAAGTACTTCTCATTTAATTAAACATTGCTTCAAACTGAATTCAGTGAGGTTTTTTTTTCTTGTTAAGATTTGTTTTAATTAAAAAATATAGATTTTTGTTGTTAATACTTTGCCAAAATGACCTATTTTTTCTCATTAAATATATATTTTTTAATGATTTATTTGAAGTATGTATAGTACATACACAGCAGGAATAGAAAAAAAAAAAAAAAGACAATATAGTATAGTATAGTATTGACAATATAGATCAGGGTCTCATAACTCTGGCCCTCAAGATCCACTTTCCTGCAGAATTTAGCTCCAACCCTAATCTAATAAACCTGAACAAGCTAATCAAGGTCTTCAGGGGTGCTTACTAGGCTGCGTCCGAAAGCTGTAAACTGCTGCTTTCGGAGGATGCATTCCAAGGCAGGAAGGCATGTCGGAATCCTATGTTAGCTTCACTTCCTGTCTCCTGAGATGCCTTCATCAGAATGATTTTTGAAGACACAGTATAGATGTTTCCTTCGCTGCCTTTGATATCCCACAATCTTGTGCGATCCATTTTGTGACATTTGAGCAAAAAAATAAAGATGGCATCTGAAAGTTGCAGATGGCGGTCAGTTTCTGTGCAAATGCACATTTTTGACCACCGTTTTTCACTCTTGATGTTATTTCTAGCGAGAAATTACTATTATAGTAGATACATATTCGCTTGGTTATCTCCAAGGCTCGATTTATTTTGTTGTAGGTATTTTAACCATTACGCTGCCTCAGAAGACAGTTTCGTGAGATGCAGTAATAATAACAGTAGTAGTGAGCAAATACCAAATAAAAAAATATATATTTATTTTAGTTTCTTATTATTTTAGTATTAGTTATATAAATTATAGTAATTATTAATCTTTTGAATTTTTAAAATATTTTTATTATTATATTTTTATTCTTATATATTTATAATTATGTTTTTATTTATACATGCTCATTCTTAATAAATGTTTGTGCTTCGTCTTTTTTTTTTTTGTCATTTAGTTTTTAGATTTTTTTAGCTTTGATTTATTTTAAAGTTTTTGTACTTAATACTTTTAACACTTAAACTTGTATTTATTTCAGTTAGTTACCAAGTTAACATTTGTAAGTTGTTCATCTAATATTTATATATTATGGTATTTCAGCTTGATTTTAATTACCAAAAACGATTAATAATAGTTTTAGTTAACGATATCATCACTGGCTGGTATCTTGGCCTCAACATTCCAATACTTTTGACATCCTGATAACCTAGCCTCCTTCCCTGAGTTTGTATTCTTTAGCTGACACTGCACACTACCTGCTGGCAACTGCTGAAGAAGCCGACGATTTGTTCCCGGCTTGTTAACCCATTTTGGGCGTGTCTGGGAATGAAGGGCAGTACGATAATGAGTTTCACTTATCACTCTAATGTTAGCTAGTGCTGTGAGCGAGATTCCCGACAGGGACTAAGCGAGGATGTAATCAGCCTTTCTCTATGAGCGTTCCACCTGACACAGAAAGCTAATCCTCCATACTTCACTCTCGTTCTGTGAAGTCCAAATCTCAAATGGGGCCTGCACAGAGCCAGCAATTGAAAGGGTTTCATTGGCTTTGAGCGTATCCTACTCCCGCTTCTCCTCTGTGTGTGATGCCCCCAGGTTCAACAGAGCACCTCCTCTCATTTATGCCTTTATATCTCCACCCTGTCTTTCCCTTCACTTGATTTCAACCCTGTCCACAGATTCTGAGGATAGAGCGGCCAGTTTCTGGGTCAGTGTGTCCATCCGGCTTTGCCGGGCAGCCTGGTTTTGTTGAGGGTCTCTCCGGTGAGGCTTGAAGGAAGGGAGGGAGCGGCTCCTCTCTTTTCTTGCCCAGCATGGTTCCAAATGTACAATGTACTCACTGAGGGTCGGCCTTGAGGCAAAAGCCATTTTGTCTGCGACAACTCTGTGCTTTTCCGAATTCAAGTGCAGCTGTGAAGAAGGATAATGCAAGGTACCTTGGGTGACTTGAATGGGGTTCTCAACGGACCTCCTGCTGAGGGACTCTAACAGAATGTGCACACACGTCAGAAAGCACTAGAATTGTAAACCACCGTTTGCTCTAGTTTTGATCAATTAGGTGCACTAAGGTGAATTTGGTTTCGGAAAAATGGTCTTCTTCGTGACTAATATTAGCGAGTATTAAAACTAAGCTCCTCTCACGTTGCACCAAATCAGTGACAGAACTCTCCTACAGTATGTGTACCCAGGTGGAAACTGAGCCGATTCTAAACGGGCAGTGTTGTAACCTGACATTTACTGCTGACTTCGAAACATGTTCATGTAATTATTCCTGCGCTGTAGTTAAATGTCAATTTGTGCACCGAGACCCGATGGGGTTCACTGGAGTTTTTCCGCTGACACCCTTTTTTCATCTTGTGGAGGAATTTGGTGTTAACTAGAACTAGATCATTATATCAAGCTTATTACCAGTTTCACACACTGCACTTGGGGCATTTAGTTATTTGTTTTTCTCTGTCTTACTTTCTCTCTGCTTTTATTTTCTCTAGCTGAATGAGTTGTTCCACAAGTCAGATGTCCAGAAAGACTTCCAGAGTGTCCGTGTGAGGAATCTGGCCCCCAGCAACTCCATAATAGCCTTTGTCGAGGCTCACTTTGACCCAGGTACAGTTACACCAAAGGTTGTTCTTAAAGATTGTTTACTTAAGTAAACCCACTCTAGCAACTGATGCTAGGGGCTGTTGTGTTTAGCATCCTTGTTAGCACACCCACATCCCATGCTGGTTTACACTGGTTCGAATCCTGCTCAGAGTGAGTAGATCCAGTTACATTGGTGCCGTGACCCGGATGGGAGCGAGGTTTAGGAGAGTAAGTGTAATAGAGGCCAATTAGTAGGAGCTGTGCAGAAAACTCACAGCCATTAGCATGCCTGTCTCCCATGCCTGTTGAGCTGGTTCAGATTAGGACCAGTAACACTTATAGACTTGAGTTTCTGTACCTCAACTGTTAGAGTATGTCTAGCTTGATATGCTGCGACTGTACAGCATCACTTCACTATCCAGGCTCTTTAAAATGTAGAAAGTGCACTTGACTACAGTGCACATCTTGACGTATTCCCAGTAATAGCTTATAGTTATAGTTCCCAGTTATAGCTTTTCTCCATCATTTTATCACCATTGGCATTAACAGTTCCCATGATTAATAAAAAATAACAAACATCTTTCTTAAATAAAATTGTGTTTACTGCCAACTTTCTTTAAATGATGATAGTGCAACATTTATAAATTATTTTGAAATAATTCAAATTATTAAAAAAATTATTTCAAAATATTACATTTTTTTAGCCTATGACAATGACAATTTATTTGTATAGCACAATTTAAAACAACAGCTGTTGACCAATGTGCTTTTCACAATGTAATTAAGTTCATTTAAAGAATAACCAACAGACGAGCCTAATTTTAATATACAATGGGGTTGTGACTTGATTAAAATATTTCAGTGCATTTATCTGAATTAAATGAGATTGCATGTGCTTAGTGAAGACTAAAATACTAAAAATACTAGTGCGCTAAAATACTGCACTTAGTTACTGCACGATGCACAATGTTCTTTATTATCTGTCTTCCCCAGTCGCTCTGTCTTTCGTTATCCTGTTTTTATTTATTTTCTTTTTTCAAGCTGCTTCTAATTTATTTCTGAAGCAGCTCTAGCACACAAAGCACAAAGTCCGGCTTATACCCTCCCTTCACATCAAAATTCCCTCAGTCTGCGCTCCTTTAGAAACATGCCTACGGCAAGAAATAAAAAGCACATAAGAACTCCCTTGTATGTTTGAAGAAAATAATAGTTCAACAACAGAATAAGGCATATAAGTTAAGTAAAAGAATCCCTAAAGATACTGCTCTCGTCTTTTCTGGCAGCGGAAGCGTTCAGAGAGCATGGCCTTTTTAGAGAGGTAATTTATCAGCTAGGGTTTCTGAAAAAGCTTATTACGGTCTCCATCTCTTCTCATGCTTTTAAGACCCTCCGAGCATCGCACCAGCTGATAAAAATCTCTTTAGCTATTCTCTTTTTATTGGTCCCCTTCAACGGCACAAGAGCACAATTCTAGCACAAGCGCCTGTCATAAAGGCGGTCTGTGGTGGCCAGTAACAGGGCCATCTGTGGAAGCGTTATTAGAGTGTTTCATCCCAACGTCCCTGAAATGCATGGCGGTTCAAGAACTGCTTCTCCCAAGGGCCTATTACACGCAGGCTTTTCTGTATATATTTGCAGTATGTTATGTCAAGTGTGAGGATGGTGGGTCTGTGCTGGTTTTTCATACTCTGCTGTGCAATATGTTTAATGTTGTGTTCTCGTTCTACAGACACAAGGTTCAGCGTGGAGGATATTGAGGGAGCCCTTCTCAAACAGCTCAAGGCATCTAAAGACACTGGTATTGTTGTGAAGAAACCTGAGGAGGAGAACATTCGCATCAACAACTATGGTAACCCGCTTGAAATTGCTTTTCCGTCCTTTCTCTTTTTCTGTTGCTGCCTTTTGTTGAGTGAGATTGCTCTTCGAGCTGGCATTTGATAAACACAAGTGCCCGCAGGACTCAAAAAGAACCTGCTTATTGAACTTCAGACTGAATGTCTCTCAGCCTCGGTTTAATTCGTGAAGAATTAAATATGTCTACCCTGACTAGGCCTATTGACCTATTTTTCCTTCTCTCCACTTTTTTAGGTCTTTCAACTGTTCCTTTCTTCACCACTACGACAACCACCGTGGCGTCTGTCACAACTCCCACCACCACCACGCTGTCTCCCACTTCTGCTTTTACAACTCTCCGCCCGACCACCACCAGACGGCCTTTCACCAGCCGCAGGACCACCACAGCAGCACCAGCCACCACCACTCCATCCCAGGCCCCCACAACCACAGTCTTCCTAAAGAACAAACCGGTGGCCCACGCCAACAGGCCGTGCGACTCTCAGCCCTGCCGTCATGGCGGAACCTGCGAGGAGGAGGACAATGACTTCACCTGCATCTGTCCCGCAGGAAGAGGAGGAGCCGTGTGCGAGAAAGGTGAGGAGAAGTACAAAAACTAGAAAAAATCTGTACATCGCAAGGACAACTGAATGGTTAAAAAGAAAATAAGAAAAGAAAATGTCCATAATAAAACAAAAACAAATTTTAGGACCATTTAAGATTTATTATTTACATTGTTATTTTCATGAAAATTAAACACACTTCTTCTGTAAATGTATTCCTATACATCTCATTACTGCTGTATGTTGACGGTTTAATTTCCTATTTTCAGTGGTTATTCATATTAAAATGCTGCAAAATGCTGTTTTTATAAAACCGATTATACAACAAATACTACCATGAATACTTTACAATTATATATATATTATGTAATATATATATGTTTATTTAATAATTTAATTAATTTAATGTATTGATAATACATTTTCGTTTATTAAAAAAATCCTAAAATGTTAATCATTTCATTTTATTTAGTATTGTTTCTTTTTTCTTTTGATCTTTCTTTCTTTTGGTGTAAAATAAACCTTATAAAAGCACAAAATAAGCACACTTGAATATTTCAGATACATTTGAATCAGCTATTATTAAATAAATAATTACAATTGAATATGTATTATTTATCAATGTTATTATTTATTATTCATATTTCGGCATTTTTTGAATCCTTTGAAGAAGAAAAAAGATTCAATAATGATTTGAACCTTAAATTGCAGTCCTGCTGTTACACTGAGGAAATTATAGCTCGATTCATTGTCTCTGTTGGTGGTATTGGGATATGAAACTACCTTTTGCAGCTGTGTCAGGTTATAATTGACACTAATTACATTGATGAACTTTAGTTAGTATCAAACTGCTGTGAGGTGAAAAAAGCCACTAATTAAAGGCTTGTAAGCAGCCCTCAAACTCTTCCTCTGATCAATCGGGCCATTAAAGAGTGATGAAGAGAGAAGGCTTCATCAGCCTTGCATTCTCTTGAGAAAAGGGTGAGAGACAGCCAAGAGAGAGAGAGGTGTTGATACGTTTCTGAGCATGGGATTCTCTGTCTGGAATGTAAATGTCTAACAGAGAAGAACTACAATACTCATCATTGATTGCAGGTTTTATGTTTTCTCACACTAGGGAATGTAGCAAACACAACATGAACGGCACATTACGGTACCATTGACAGGGGTATCTGCGTTATCTGAAGGAGACACACTTGAGTGCAGTTTTGTTTGTTGCTCTACCAGTAGAAAGCAGAAGTCCTGGTTGACCGTCTCTGATAACCTGCTTTATCTGTCTTCTACCTTCTGTCCTACTCAGTTATAAAGTACTTCATACCATCCTTCGGTGGAAAGTCTTACATGGCTTTCCAAACCATGAGGGCCTACCACACTGTGCGCATTGCCATGGAGTTCAGGGCTTCGGAAATGACAGGGATATTGCTCTACAATGGCCAAAAAAGCAAAAAGGACTTCCTGTCTCTGGCATTATTTGAAGGAAATGTGGAGCTTAGGTAAGTAACCAAGTTAATATAGGGTTGGAAAATAATTATTATTCAGAACCCGAGTGATTTCCATGTCCATTCCAGATCTGTTAACCATTTTAATTTGTGTTGATCCTCTTAAATGTCTCCCACATGAAGGTTTAACACTGGTTCTGGGACGGCTTCAGTCATCAGTAAGGTCGTGGTAAAGCCGGGTCGCTGGCATCAGCTCGTAGTTGTGCGTAATAGGCGTAATGCCATGCTGAGCGTGGACAATGAGCCGATGGTTGAAGGACAAAGTCCCCCAGGAACAGATGGACTCAACCTGGACACAAACCTTTTCATCGGAGGAGTGCCGGAAGACATGATAGTAGAGTAAGAGAAGCTCAAGAACGCCTCCAAATAACACTAACAAGAGCCTCTTTAGTCTTGTTAGAAGCCATAATGAAACATTATGGAGAAAAATAACCTAAATCATTGACTGTCTGCGCATGTTTGCAGGAACCTGCCAGAACAACTAATATGACTTAATAAGACTGGGCAGAAATAGCCAAATCAAATTAGCATCAATCAGAGATGTTGTGGAACACTACTTGAGATCTAATTGAATGTTTTTCCATGTGTTCTCAGTCAGGCAGAAAGTGTCTTTTTTCAATAAAAAAAAAATAAAAAAAAAAAATTATGTATAATTTCATGGTGTTGTTACATTTTCCCTGTCATTTGAGAATTAAGATGAACATTAAGAAGGAGAACTGACAAAATGACAAAATGATTGTTGGGTTTTTTTGCAGTGTAAAGGAGCGGACATCAGTTTCAACAGGCCTTGTGGGCTGTGTCCGCATGTTGGACGTCAACAACTTCGTCTATAACCTACAAGAGAATGGCGGTAGCGTTCTATATGGCTCGGCCATTGGCGAGTGTGGCAACAACCCATGCCTGCCGAATCCCTGCAAGAACAAAGCCTCCTGCCAGGTCAAAGAAGCCGAGATGTTCCACTGCAAATGTGTCAACGGTTTCTCTGGTGGGTGCACAAGTATTAACTTTTACTTATGTATGTATGTATGCATGATCTTATTGTTTTCTGTGCTACATTAAAGATGAAGTATGAAAATTTCAAACACTTTAATTGGTTAAGTCAGTGTTGTCTCAAAAAACAGATTGTTGTTCCATTTAGTGCAGTTAGTGGTGCAAAAAAGACAACATTCACCTTTAACTATACACTTGTTAAGAATAAAAGGTTCTGCAGTGACTCTTTGTTCCAGTTGTGAATATCTGGACTTGTATTGTATTGATGAAAGATTCAGCAGGGCAGAGGACGCTTGTCTAATCAATGTTTAGCCTTATGGGTATGTAAGACAGATGAGTGTTTACCCAACGATATGAAGACAGCAAGGACAAATACGGAGTGAATACAAATAACTTCACCAGTACTGAATATACTTGTTGGAAAGACACATTTTCCCAATCCTGAAAGGGAATTGGCAAATCTTCAATGTTTTCAGAACAACAAAGAACACATGCTATAGTTCTTATGGTTAAGTTAATAAAACATCTGGTTTAATAAATAAGTACAAAATCAAACTCTATTCAGTTCACAAAAGTGAAGTGAAAGATGCTAAATCTGATCTAGTCGCTCACTGACATGCTGTGTTTCTCTTGTATGTGTGTGCGGGGGGCGGGGGTTCTTTTTTATTATTTTTTTTTATCTAAATGTATGCCTTTTAATTATGTTATAAGGCAGTACAATAGATACTGTATTGATGTATAAATAAATACTTTTGAGTGTATATATATATATATATATATATATATATATATATGATTTATAATTCCATGGTAAAAAGACATTTGGTACAAATTTAGGGCAGGTCTTAATATTTCCAGTGACAATTCCTAATACCTTATGCCAATGTTATGATTAATGTTTTTCAATGTCTGCCACACAAAGTTTGTCCAATCTTCAACAAAATTGGCTCAGGTCATCTTCATACCAAGCCTGACTAACATTTTTGATTTTCAAAGCCATTTGACTGTAAAATGCCAACAAATTTGCTATGAGGATGCGAAACAGAAAGTAAAGCTATGTCTTGGATCTTACTGGGCGGAAGTTTCTACTTCTACTATATCGTTTAAGCCAAATTTTCTATGAAGCTTTCAACATATATTACACAAATCTAATCAGCATTACAAGGTACACTACCGTTCAAGAGTCAGTAAGGTTTTTAAATCCTTTTATTCAGCAAGGATGCATCAAATTGATCAAGTAACAGTCAAGACATTTATAATGTTACAAAAGATTACAATTTCAAATTAATTTTGTTCTTTTGAACTTTCTACTAATCAAAGAATCCTAAAAAAATGATTGGTTTTCATAAAAATATTAAGAACTAGAAATACTACTGAAAGAAAGCACTACTGTTTTTAACATTGATAATATGTTTTTATCACTGATAATTATGTTTCTTGAGCAGCAAATCAAAGTGATATCTGAAGGATAATGAGATGCTAAAGACTGGAGGAATGATGCTGTAAATTTAGCTTTGCATCACATAAATAAATTACATTTTAACAATTGCTTTAAATTGTAATAATATTTCACAATATTACAGTTTGTATTGTAATTTTTAACAAGAAATGCAGCCTTGGTGAACATACGAGACTTTCTCTAGTTCTCTGGTTTATTGTGGTTTATTCACATCATAAGGAACGGTAGGACTCATCCACAGAGCAGAAGTTACAGTGTTCTCTTTGTTCACATCCAAGAGGTTTTTTTGTTCTCCATCTTGCAGTGTTGCTCCAGACATTTGAAATATTGCCCAGAGTAAATTGCTCTGTTGTTCTGCTCACAAGCCTTTATTGAACAACCTTTATAATAAAACAGTTCAATATCTTCCACTTTATTTCTGTACTGCAGAATGGCTGCAATGAGGTGTGTAGGAAAATGAAGACCCTTTGAAGTAGAAGTGTACACAAAGAAGTTGGCTAGGGGGATAAATATGTGGGATAACCTTTAATGTTTAAAGAGCAGGATTGTAAGTTGGAGGGTTGCCGCCCCATCACGGAGATAGAGCGGCCTAGAGTTTGAGAGCAAGAGAGAGAGAGACACCTAGCAGAGCGTCTCAGAACACAACGGGAGCTTTCATTACAGTGTGCAGCAGCTGCCACCCGTGGCGTGATCTCCTACTATGTTCTATGTGATGATGGGAATGTTCTGATGAGGCTAGAAGTGCTGACCTGAAGCACTTTCAGTCTTTCAAACCAGGAGGGCACACAACATTCTGCACTACAGCTTCATCTAAATTTGTAATAATTCAAAATCCTGTTACAAAAGGGCCCCTTTATAGGTGAAAATTCAAATCAGCTCAGTCAAAAGTCATCTTGGTAACACCTCTAGGCAGCTAAATTTCAACTGTTTGCCAAAATCGTGTTTCAATAGCAATCGAAAAACATTGGTATCATCAATTTAGTTCTTTAGCTTAAATAATGCGTAAAAACTCTATTTTCAGGGCATTGCTACTATATCTTTTAGTTAATGCTAGTAAACACACTCTGTCGTAAAAGTGATTGGCTCTTTTAATTGAAAGGCAGGGTTTTACCATGTTAATTTCTCCCATTCATTTCACTGCAAGTGATCCGTCTCTTCCTCCTTATACTATCTGTGACTTAATTAGCCAGGATTGACAGGAAGTTGTTTGATTTCTCCTCAAGTGGCTTCTCATCATCTTTTGTTTAAGTCACATGAATATCAATTTTTGTTAACAGGTCCGACCTGCGCTGACGCCCACAACCCCTGCGACCCCAATAAATGCCACCCATCATCACGGTGCCAAGTTCTTCCAGAGGGAGGTTACAAATGTGAATGTCCAATGGGACGTGAAGGCAAGCACTGTGAAAAAGGTACAGTACTACATCATTGTAAAAATACAGTAAATGAGCGTATCGACTCAACTAAGGACTGAAATAACTGCTACTTCTCAGTTGTAATTTCAGTATTGATTTTTGTCAGGATCGACCGTTCTGCCTCGGATATTTGCTGTAGAATTATTGAGGGATTAATAAAGGCTATGGTGGAGTGTAAAAAGTGAGATTCTCCAGTTGGCGTTTCCAGTGGGTACCATACTGTAAAATAGGTTTTATCGGCTAATATAATGGAGAGTCGGCATCTGGGAGGTGATGTGAATTATTTACCCTTTTATACCATGTCTGAGCTGCCATCCTAGGCTGGAAAATCAAACATATGGTAGGTCGATGGGGGGGGATTTCAGTAGTCGGACATCCTCTGGGAGCTGGACCCTAACCAAGGATGCCTAAGTCTACTGCCATTTCGAAGCTTTCATTAGCACTCTTACTCTGTTGCGCATCCCTCTCTCACCTCATTAAAATTCCTACAGATGTTTTAGATCACAGGCATTAGAAATGTGGAAACCAAGTAAAAGGTTTAGCAACACACATGTGTGCAGGCGTATTGGACACCTCCCGGGAGTCCTGCCCTATACGCTAGGCCATGGGCCAATAATATATAAGTCAAATTAGCCTATAGCAGGGGTGGGCAACTCTGGCCCACGAGATCGACTTTCCTGCAGAGCTTAGCTCCAAAAGCCCCAGAGTTGCCCAGCCGTGCTATATAGAGTGCAACAGTGCCCGCCCACTTTTTCAATGGCCTTGGTTCTGGGAATATTTTTCCCATTATTTTTTCCAGTATTTATTAAAGAGTTATACGCCATTAACCAAACCAACTGACTATGAGGTGCATCACAACATTACAAACTTTGCACTTTGTTTATTTAGCACTTTGAGTCGATTTTTACTTCCGTCACCTGACTGTCACACTGTATATAGAGCTTCCCCCTCATTTACGTCACCATCAAGTTTTTACTGATTGGTTAAAAATTTCAATCTCCAATATCTTCATTTTCATTGACTATCTTGAAATAACATTGCTGTCTGTATCAGTGATACTGTTTCATGTGATGTCATTACTTGTGGGTGGGGCCAGTTTCATCATTCACGAGGGCCCCCGGGATTGTGGTGTCATTGCACATACATCCACACACCTGTACAACCCAGAACTGTCAAATGAGAGGGGCCAGATAGTCACCTTTTCGTCTAAGAAAGTCTCCATTAGCGAGTGATTAAAATAAATTGAGGTGAACCAGAATCAATGAGTTGAGCGCATCCATCAGACGGAGTGTTTTTTCTTATCGCTTGAATCAATGAGATGAGTAATTCTATCAGTCAGCTGCACATCATGATTAATGGGGAGTCAGTCGGGCAAAGTGTCCAGGGAGAGTGGCTCTCTCAAATAAGAGACTGACCAGCACCGAATCAGTCGTCATAACAGGAGAGCGCTCCCTGCTGGAGGAGGCCAGAAGGTAAAATGCAAAGCAGTGTGCTAAAAGAAGGACATTTTCAGGAGTAAGACTTTATTGTCTCTGAAGCACTGCTGGACTAAAGTACTAAAAGTAATGCATGATGCATCCATTAGCTGCCATTTGGAAATGAAGATTTTTGTAGTCAACATGAAAGTGTTTGCAACCTTTTACTTTTTTACTTTCGTAATGTTATGTACTATATATCAGAGTAAAATATAGTATATTCAATTAGAAAAAAAATGCATGGTAGTTTGCTAAACAATGCTTAATGCACTGCTTATGCTAATTTCCAATAGGTTTATGCATTACAAAAGTAGATCGGGTCAATATCATATTGACATTAAAATCAACATGAAATACAACAAAAAAATTACAAAGAAATGTTTCTACTAGTTTTGTGAAGTGATATGTTTCATTATAATATTGTAGTTACATAAAATATTTCAAAAAAATAACAATTATTGATTTATTTGAATCCTTTTTAGTTTTTAAAATAAATAGTTTACTTATTTACACTATCGCTCAAAAGTTTGGAGTCAGTACTTTTTTTGAATGGGGGGTTGGAATAAATTAATACTAAGAATCAGTAATGGCTTCTGAAAACCCAGCTTTGCTGTCACAGGAATAAATTACATTATAAAATATAGAGTATATATATTCATTGGTAGTAACTTTTTAATAGTAAACAGATACATTTATTATTGATTCAATTTATCTGATTTAATAATTTGATTTTGAGTACTCCAGATCTGTGATGAGTTGTTTATCAGTGCTGCATTGAAAGGAACGATTTCTCGGTTGTCAGTGGTTTATCAAACACCAGGCCTGTCCTATAGTTTTGGATGTTGCCTAATCTTTATACATAAACTGAATGCAGTGCAGAAAAGTAGGCCACTACTTTGTCGCTTTCCATTTTGACCCTGTTGTGATTTCTTGTAGAATAGAGAAGCTGCTGCTGTGTTAAACAATAGCTAATTAGCTTTTTAATCTCAGTCTGCCATCCCAGACTGAGCATGCGCTCATCCTGTGTAATTACTGCAGGAAGCATGCTGGGCTGTGTGACAGTGCTATGTGTTGATGGGTTTGTGTGTGTATGTGTGATCTATATACTGTGTCCCTGTCTGGTCTCATAATTGAAGGAACACTCCCATCTCAAACACATTAGGATATCTGCAAAGCATAATGTTTTTTTTTCATATTTTTCAGTGTCAGACAAGGGAGGCGCTTTCATTCCTTACTTCACTGGAGACTCTTTCCTGGAGCTCAAGGGCCTTCATCTCTATGGCCAGGATCTGAGGTATTACGTTACATATTGGCTATTCCTTTTTGCATTTATTATGATCATGACGCTGATGTTGCAAACAATAATGTTATATTATTGGTACTGTATGTGGTGAAATGAGAAGGCAAAGTCCACATACACAATCAGTGATGCAAACACAATTCAATTCTGCTGTAAAGCAGCTCTGCAGAAAACAGTAGTGTCATCAACCAGCTCAATTCAGTTAAAGTTTTGTTCTCATTAGTCAAAAAAATACTTTGTAAACACCACTGGTTTAATTATGCTTCTTCTACCTCACAGATTAATTCATGTTGCAAGTAATTTCAAGTTAATTCAGATTCGGACATGTTGGATTTGTTTCTGATGTTCGATTGGTTGAGCTGTTACTCTGTAATTAGTCCATCTATTTCTGCCATTTTGACCCATTCATGAAGATTTGTAGACTGAATGAACCTTATTTCTCACATTACTTTTTGCCTGTATCAAGGAAGAAAACCCCCTGTTATGAGTCTAATTGAACTATGCTTATTTGTCCATAGGCAAAAATTCAGCATGACTGTCGTTCTGTTGGCCAATGACTCCAAAGGCATGATTTTCTACAATGGTCAAAAGACGGACGGCAAAGGAGATTTCATCTCTCTGTCCCTGAATGATGGGATCCTAGAGTTTAGATATGACCTGGGCAAAGGGCCGGCTGTAATTAGGTAAACAACACCCTGTAAAGTTATATTCGAATTAAATTAAACTCAAATTACTCGTATGTGTTGTGTTCAGTCGCCTATTAGAGGAACTGTAGCTTTTGGGTTTATTTTCATATTGCTATTAAGTTTATTATATAAACTTTAAATAATCTTTTGTGTGTGTGTGCACAGGAGTAAAGAAAAAATCAAGCTGAACGAGTGGAATACAGTGAATCTGGAGCGGGCCAGCAGAAAGGGAGAGATCAGCATTAACGGCAAAGACCCCGTCAGAGGAGAGGCGCCGGTATGAGAACACTCTTATGCTTATGCTGCCCAATAAAGGCCACAAACAAGAACTAGTCAAACTAGCTGTTCCCTCCCTTGTCAAAAAGGACTGTGATGGTACTTTGATATCCAGTGGTGTTCAAAAGTTTTGGCTGAAAATAATGAAATATTTCAGATTCTACTCTATTTATAGGTGACTAATCCAGTAAGTAAATTTGTGACACTAATAATGATTGAGATGTTCTTGCTTCTTTTGAAGCTTGTGATGGTCTGTAGATCATCTCAAATAATGCTGGAGAACATGATCATCAGGTTTGACACAAACTTGTGAAGTTTATGCAGCTCAAGTGCTGTTGTAATTGAAGTAAAAGAGGTACAAACCAAATACCACATACATTCTGAAATTCATATTCAGTTTTTCAAATCAACTTTTTACTAGTGTAAATTGCAATAAAAAACATTTAATTAAATCAAGACTTAAAAAAGACTTTTGGACCCCACTATATAACATGGAATTGAATGATTACCATATTCATGTACCATGATATTGACATTTCAGATAATGCTATATAGGGGTGGGCGATATGACCAAAATCTTATTTCACGATAACGATATATATCACAATATAGTTATTTTTGCTATAAATAAGGTTTTATGGCATCCAAATTTTTGATACCATTGAAATGTCATTATAATTCTTGTCACCAATTTCAATATCACAAAACACTAGCCTAAGTTCGTTTTTTTTTTTAAAGGGATAGGGATTACTTCCACTAAACACAAAAGAAGATATTTTAAAGAATGTTGGTTACCAGACAGTCGATGGTAGCCATGTACTTCCATAGTATTTTTTTTTTCCTTCTACTTCGGCTACCGTCAACTGTATAGTTACGTACCAACATTCTTCAAAATATCTTCTGTTTAGTTCAACAGAAGAGAGAAACTCATAAAGGTTTGGAACAACATAAGGGTGAGTAAATGATGACAGAATTTTCATTTTTGGGTGAACTATCCCTTTAAGACAAGTAAACAGTCGGTGATAAAATAAGAACAAAGAAACTAATTACAAGCAAAAGAACAACAAACTACAATAGAACAAAGAAACAAATGAAATACTACATAAATTGTATAAAGGAATCAAATGTATTAAAAAAACACTGCATAGTCGTCACTATGTACATTTAAATATACATTTATTCTCATTAAAGTTACAAAAGTGATTTAGTCAAGAACAGTGAGAGATTTTCTCTTTTGTTGTTTGATTAACATTAATGACAGAAAGTCTGCTGTCACTTTAAGAGCGAATGCACGGGTATATTACTGTTACACATGTGTTTTCTTTCTCAACTGTTTACGTTCACTTATAACTTAAATGACTGTTTACGAGGATACTTGCAAAGATGGGCATTTTGACACATAAGTGTGTGTATTTGACCGTTCAAGCCCAAAAAGGCGGCAAAATGAACTCAGTTAAGTAATTGTGCACTGTATGAGCCTCGGCTTTATGTGCGTGCGTCTCTCTGACAGCGCGTGTATATAGTAAAATTAGTTCTTTCGCTGCTTATGGCACTTCTCTTGTTTTATAACTGCAATGCTTAAAACACATTCAAATGATTAGCTTTCATGACCAAAATTGATTGATTAGCTTCCATGACCGTTGACACAGCAACATCACATGAGCGTAATTGCGATAGAGATAATGGTCCAAAATCTCGACCAGTTGACAAATTTCTTCCGGTTATCGTGTCTACTGTTATATTGCCCACCCCTAATACTATGGTATTATCATGGTACGTTTCAAAGAAACCATGATATTACCATAAGTGGTATTGACCAGAAAGTCATGCTTTGTTTTGCATATTCTTTGAAGTTTAGTTCAATGTCTGCCTTTCACGCAGGGTCTGGGGTGCATGTGTGGGAAGCTTTCGAAACTTCCTCCTTTTACGTTTCGTACCGTATATTTGGTCTTTTATCTCTGCCCTCCCTTTGCTTTTAATTGCCATGTGGAAATGACTCTGTCTGTTGTGCTACAGATTCGCACCCACTCAGATCAATCCCAGCAGCCTCTGCCTGAGCTCGTGTCAAACTCAAAGTACGACAGCAGAACAATCAGGCAGCTCTCGTACACAAATCGAGGCCATGTAATAATCTTGAAACTCTCTCATCCTCTAGTTATTCCAAATAGTGTAATTTGTGATTAGCTTGATGTAGTCTTGCGCGTAGGCACTTAAGTGTGCCTTTTTCCATCATTAAACCTTCCTACGTATGATAATTGTGTTTCATCGCAGCAGTAGAGGCAGGAAAATCCTATTAAAGCGGAGCGTAAGAGGATGAGAGAGGGAAAAATGTGAAGAAACCAAAAGGGTCTTGTTCCAAAGGGGCCGCCCGAAGCAAAACCCCATGAGAAATATTTTCATATTGCCTCGATGGCCTCAGCCGTTCCACTGAACAGACTCTAATATACACCGCCATATCACAAAGCAAATATAAATAATGTGGGTGCAGTAGTGTAAAACATAGCACGACTTTAATGCCATTTCTGATTTACTCTGAACATTTGTTTCTGAGGCACTATCCACACACACATATATTTATTTATTTGCGACCTGCATGCTAAGTGTCTTGCTTGAGTTACGCTTGTGAATATTTTATTCCTCAGGCTTATAGTTTTCTGCATGCGGTTCTGTGTGTACTGACATCTTCTGTGTTTTCTTCACTGGTAACATTTTTTTTCTTCCTTCCCCTGTGCTCTTTTTGTGTGCTGTCTGGATATAAGAAATCACGCAAGGTAATGACTAAAGTCTGAAATCGCTTTCTCGAAATCAACATCCTCATTCCCACCAAAAGCAACTGTCCATTTCAGCTTCATTGTCCATTAGTCAAGATCTGGTAGAGGATCAAACGAATCGGAGGGGAGGGTTTTTTTCTTCTCTTCAAACCATTCCATATGCTGAATGGAAAGAGACATAGAGAGAGATTTGGCTTTCACCTCAGACCAGCTGGTATGGGGGCGACGGGGGATAGTTATCATTTGACCACCATTGTTTCATCACCCTTCCAACAACAATGAAACGTCTTCATTAGTCTCGCGTGGGAGGGCCATTAAACCACCTCACTGTGGATGTAGACTGCAAGAAAAAGGCTGCTGGCGTGGGAGAGAAAGGGAGTGTTATCAAGAGAAGAAAGAGATGTGAGAGGAAGAGAGCGTGGTACAGAGCTAGGAGTTGTTCTTTTGGCACATTTGTTTTTGGACCCTTCTGGGGCGTCATGCACTTTTTTTGTTGTTGTTTGTTTGTTTGAGGTGGTACCAATGACAGTCCTGGCTCACTTAGTGCCCTAGGCAACATAAGACATGACCAAAGAGAAGGAGATTCTATTTTTAAGTGTGAGACATGATAGTCTTGTGGTAGTGTTTCTTTTTAGCATCCAATGGGACTCAGGGACTTGTGTGTAACTTTTGAACCTCAAACTTTGGAATAGTAGTGTATATGTATAATTGTATATATAAATATGTTTATATACTGTACACTAACATTTAAAAGTTTGGGTCGCTAAGATTTAGGTTTTTGATGAAGTCTGCCTACCAAGGCTGAATTTATTTGATAAAAAATAAAGTAAAGATCAAAATAACAGCATTTATTTAAGATAGAAATCTTTGGTAACATAATAAATGTCTTTACTGTCGCTTTAGATCAATTAAATGCGCCCTTGCTGAATAAAAGTATTCATTTCTTACTGACCCCTAATTTTTGAATGCTGGTATATAATTAATAATACTTTTTTTATTATTTATGTATAGTATTATTGGGTCTTTGTTTATGTATTTATTTATTGCAAGTAAAATTGGAACTGAATCCTATAGCAAGGCATCATTTTCATTGTATTTCATTGTAAAGAAGCTTTGAATTTCTGGTAGTAATAGAATCTACTGGTCAGACTGGAAACATTTCTACCATCGAAGGAAATTTTTTTTTTTTTTTTTTTTTTACCTACAACAATCATGTACCTTAATTATTGAAGATACAAACTTTTCTTGGAAATTGCATTCAAATTCTTGGCTCAGAAATCTGAGTTTGAGTGGGCATGATGCTTCTGGGGCCCTTGGGGAAGGTTCCTAAAAAACACTGGCAGTTAACTATTCACTTCACCTGCTCAATCTCAGTCTCAGCTCGTTCTGGCAGAGAACAGGAGAGTGAAAATGCCTCTCCCAGCCTGTGGCAGTCGGTGCATTGCATCTTTATGTCAAGACTTCTCATTGCACACGTCTCTGACCACATGAAACAGCAGCTGGGCGAAAACATTCATGGCTATGCTGTCTTGGCCCAACCACATGCTTGAACTGGCCCCTTGTTCCATAGCCAAAGCTTTTCAAGCCATTGCCTTTATCCGTACTCAGCTATTCTTCTTTTTATATCACTGGGATGAGAGCTGGACCACACGTCAGAAACTGGCATTGCTGTTGATGTCCCATCTTTTTTTTTCCCCAGCAATTAACTTGCCTTTCCCCCAAGGCAATTATTGGCCTACATAAAATAAAGATTTTTAATTCTTTTTAAGTAGAGCCTCATGCAGAAAAATCCCACTGTAACTAAAGCGATTTTCACACCGGTTGGAGAAATGCTTAGTTCATGGTCATCTGCGTCGTGAGCGATACACCAATTAGAGTTTACAGCTTGAGATTTTAATGGTCCGAGGAACAATCAGGCATCCATTACACTCTTTCATTAAAAAACCATCCATATCAATCGTCCTCATTTCAATTGCTTCAATTATCTCTCACTTTTTTTTCCCTCACTTTTTTCTCCTGTCTTATATGTTAGATTTAGAGTCATTTACCATTCAGAGAACTGAGCTTAAATCTATTATGGTTCTGTAATACAACACTCACGTTGATGTGGATACGGATTAGGTGTGAAAGTTGAATCAATAAGCCTGCTGATGTACAGTAAACCATCCTCTTTTACACTGGTTTCTTTTTACTGCAGTTGCTCTACTAGATCACCCATAAAAAATTGTAGCCATTTCGTAAGGGTTTGCATTAAAGTGTGATAGCTAAAAGAGTGAATAGAGGATGAGGAACAGTTCATGTGGTTTCTCATGCCCATTTTTGTACTCTCCAGAATCAGCACACAGATCTTAATCTGAAGGAGTCGCTCTTTGTGGGCGGAGCCCCTGATTTCCGCAAAGTAGCCAGAGCTGCTGCGATCAAAGATGGTTTCAAAGGGGCCATTCAGAAGGTGAGAGCATTTACAGATGCATTAAAGTCATGAATTTCCATTTAAAACCCATTTTACTTCCATCTATTGATGCATTTCAGAGTGAAACACGATATTTAGTGAGAATAAACCTTGTTTTAACCATTGGGAAATAAATGGAGAATAGAAAAATGTGTTACTTGCCAGAATGAAGCCAGACCTAAATGCGATTTGCTAAAACACTTCATAAGTAGCTGTTTGGCTGGAAGAAGTAAAACTTATATTTGGATTTAAAAAACGATATCTATATTAAACCTATATCTGTCTCCATAGATTACTCTGATGGGAATTCCAATCCTGAAAGCTGACAATGCCCTTCAATCCAGTGATGTGTCCATGTATCCCTACCACCCTTGCTCCAATGATGTTTGTGAGAACGGAGGCCGCTGCAACCCCCAGTTGGACAGTTATGAGTGCGTCTGCCGCCATGGATTCGCCGGACAGCACTGCCAGGACGGTAAGTGCCTTATTTCATCACTTTTTTAATTCAAAATCGTATTACCCAGTACAGCCTCTCCTCCAACTCCTTCACACTCCTTTAAGGCAAGATTTGCATACGTCTTTAGCATACATCAACATACGACTTACTTAAAAGAAATCGCTCATGGCAGCTTTAGCCAATCCATGTGCTCCATATGTAGATTTAGCTAAATCCACGCCTCCAAACTTTCACAAATAATATCAGTCATCGTCCTTGCATGATTTGTATGCTTATCACAAACGCACATTGGCACAGTCACAAAACCCAAGAATTTTGCTCACCTCATTAACCTTGCTGGGTCCTACTGTTGTATCTTTAACCTTAATTAAGCCACACAAGCATGAAGCCTGCGATATATCACGCTTTCCTCCTTTGCTTTAATTAAACAGTGCTGTGTCTCACTTCGATTGGTGTAATTTCACTTTGTCTTCTCTCCTCCCTTTCAGCAATATTCGAGAAATCTGCTGGGGACACAGAGGCCATTGCATTTGATGGCCATACATTCATCGAATATCACAACGGAGTCACCAAGAGGTAATACAGGCGCACGTCCTCATGTCAATGGCCTGCCCAATCATCACTATCCGCCCTGAGCTGCATTGACTGCATTTCTATATTAGCAGTCAATGAGGGGTGATGACAAGCTAGATTACTCCGGCCTCATTTAAGGTCCAACGTACTTCCTCGTTTCAGCTAATGGCCTGATCTCATCAATTACCACTTCCACTGGCCTGTCTCTTTGGTTTCCATGAACCCTGGCTGGTTCCAATTAGCGTAGCACCCGAAGGAGTCTCATGACTGCACTGCGATGTACCACGCTTATGTGCTGTAATGAACCTTCCTCCACCATCGCTGTAATCTCAAAACCACACGTTTTCTCTACCACACATATCCTAAAGCACCATGGATGATCTTGTCTTGATAATTGCTTCCTCCTTCACTTATCAGATGATTTCTCTTCCTCTGGTTGGTCTGATGTGTCAGTGGTCCAGCAAGCACCAATTACGTCAACATTTATTCGGTTTCGAATAGAAAGGATTGAATTTTTGAACCCATCACAAGTGTTATATATTCTATTGCAGTGTCTCCACCAGTGTTAAAATGGTGCTTTCAAAGCTACTCATAATTTAAAGTATTTTTACAGTGAAACTAGCCTTTTGAAAGCAGTAGATAGCTACACTAAAGGTTACTAACATTAAGTGGTTAACTTAAGTAAAGCTAACTAAGAAGCCAATATATTTTAAACTATAAAACTGTTTAAAATGTATAGAAATCAGGTGATATCATTTACTTTTACAACCAGAAAAGTATCTATTCGGTACAAAACAACGAGGATCTCAATTATAGTGATATACATCAATCTGAATTAGAAACATGCAAAAACATGAGATGAACAGCAGAATTTAGTGAAATATTTGACTACAACAAAGTGTACATGAATGTGAATGAATCAGTTAACAATTTCTTAAACGGATTCATTCATAGAACCGTCCATATAAAATTAATCGATCCTCCCAGCTCTACTTATAAATCAGTGAAGACATTTTTTTTTTTACATATTTTGTTCATATTAGACAGATGTTAACATCATTGCTGATTTTCACTGCCACATCGACTGATCATACCACTGTGAAATGCACATCTTACCACTTAATTCACAAACTAGTGTGCTGAACATGGGGCGAACCTTAATGAAGGACACACAGCGTCACTCCTGTTTGTTATGTGTTGTGTGTTTGTTTGTGTCAATCTGTCTGTCTCTGTACACATGGCTTCTGTTGTCTTTGCTCTTGTCTGTCTGTCTCATTTGAGTGTCTGTTGTCTTCCTTCTGCTCTCAAGCCAACTGACCAATGAGATCCCAGAGTAAGTAACCCAAAGACATTCTGGGATGTATTGAAATAAGCAAAACTAACATTTTTTAAGACAAACCATCAACTTAACCCAATATAAAGCATTGGTCTTTTCCTTGTACTCCCATTTACATCACATTCAGAAAAATATTTTTGAAAAATGCAGGGCTCATCTATTACATATTATTTCCAGGAAAGGTTGCATTTTCATCAGCTGCATCAGAAACCAGTATCAGGAATGCATGCTTGGCATGAATAATGATGAGCATTGTGATACACTGATAGATTCCTACAGGAATCATGCATGGAAATACTTAAACTGACTTTGGAAATACGCCTGTGTATATTCTTATGTTAAAAAAGAATGAAGCCCTGTTTAACTGCAAATATGTGTTATTTAACTTTACACCGCTTTAAATCACAATATACATCAATATTTAGTTCGTATTTACAGCTTGGTTTAAATGGCATTTTACTGCCCCATTAGAGAAATGTTCAATCTGTTATAGTGTTCCTTATTTTAAATTATTTGTTTCTGAATGTAATTAAGTGTCTAAGTGGCTGCACTGAGCCCTTAAAAAGCTGGCAACTTGATTAAATGGAATTATGTTATGTATTATGCTCATGAAAAGTTCCTGCCTGGCTTTTAAGCCACGTCACTTTGTTTGTCAAATCGCTCCCAGTGATTTCTAATAATTGTGCCAAAGGATGAAAGTGAAAGTGGCACATTAATCAAGGATTTGTCTCTCAGAAAACTGGCCGCAATTAAAGAGGCTCCGTCCAGTAGAGAAAGCGAGCCACCGCGGGCATCAATAACAGTTAGGGACAAGGCCCTCTTCATTGACTTTCACTCTTCCTGGGGTTTAATGCGTGTCACTTCCTCTACAAATGAAGTGCCAGATTAAAATTAATCTCAACCAAGAAAGCTGACCAGCCCTTCAGAACGAGTATCATCAATTTAGCTTGATCTGGTTTTGAGCAGAGCCCTTAAAATGAATGAATTCCTTAGAGGGCGTCAGCATAGTGGCGCCCCATCTGTGGCAGTAGAGTCATATTTCTGTTAGTATTTACTGTGCTCTTCATATGTCTTTATTCATTCTCTTTAGCTCAGCAGCCTTGGATCAATTTACCCATTCTTACCCTTCAGTGACCTGTTCCTAAATGTGTTTTTATTTATATAATTGGCCTTTTGACAAAAACAAGTGTCTTATTTAGCTCAGTTCCAATACTAGTAAGCTACATTGCTGCCTACATTGGCAGCTGCAATCTTAGGAAGCAGAAAAGCACAACACACATATAGAAACTCAACTTGATTTCAGTAGTTTGACATTAGCATGTTGCTAACAGCACACTATAGCATAACAATATAAAATACATGGCATACTCAAATATTGGGTAAAATAGTCATTCAGTAGTTTGACGTTAGCATGTTGCTAACACCACACTATAGCATAACAATATAAAATACATGGCATACTCAAATATTGGGTAAAATAGTCATTCAGTAGTTTGACGTTAGCATGTTGCTAACAGCACACTATAGCATAACAACATAAAATACATGGCACACTCAAATATTGGGTAAAATAGTCATTCAGTAGTTTGACGTTAGCATGTTGCTAACAGCACACTATAGCATAACAACATAAAATACATGGCACACTCAAATATTGGGTAAAATAGTCATTCAGTAGTTTGACGTTAACATGTTGCTAACAGCACACTATAGCATAACAACATAAAATACATGGCACACTCAAATATTGGGTAAAATAGTCATTCAGTAGTTTGACGTTAGCATGTTGTTAACAGCACACTATAGCATAACAACATAAAATACATGGCACACTCAAATATTGGGTAAAATAGTCATTCAGTAGTTTGATGTTAGCATGTTGCTAACAGCACACTATAGCATAACAACATAAAATACATGGCACACTCAAATATTGGGTAAAATAGTCATTCAGTAGTTTGACGTTAGCATGTTGCTAACAGCACACTATAGCATAACAACATAAAATACATGGCACATTCAAATATTGGGTAAAATAGTCATTCAGTAGTTTGATGTTAGCATGTTGCTAACAGCACACTATAGCATAACAACATAAAATACATGGCACACTCAAATATTGGGTAAAATAGTCATTCAGTAGTTTGACGTTAGCATGTTGCTAACAGCACACTATAGCATAACATAAAATACATGGCACACTCAAATATTGGGTAAAATAGTCATTCAGTAGTTTGACGTTAGCATGTTGCTAACAGCACACTATAGCATAACAACATAAAATACATGGCACACTCAAATATTGGGTAAAATAGTCATTCAGTAGTTTGACGTTAGCATGTTGCTAACAGCACACTATAGCATAACAACATAAAATACATGGCACATTCAAATATTGGGTAAAATAGTCATTCAGTAGTTTGATGTTAGCATGTTGCTAACAGCACACTATAGCATAACAACATAAAATACATGGCACACTCAAATATTGGGTAAAATAGTCATTCAGTAGTTTGACGTTAGCATGTTGCTAACAGCACACTATAGCATAACATAAAATACATGGCACACTCAAATATTGGGTAAAATAGTCATTCAGTAGTTTGACGTTAGCATGTTGCTAACAGCACACTATAGCATAACAACATAAAATACATGGCACACTCAAATATTGGGTAAAATAGTCATTCAGTAGTTTGACGTTAGCATGTTGCTAACAGCACACTATAGCATAACATAAAATACATGGCACACTCAAATATTGGGTAAAATAGTCATTCAGTAGTTTGACGTTAGCATGTTGCTAACAGCACACTATAGCATAACAACATAAAATACATGGCACACTCAAATATTGAGTAAAATAGTCATTCATTTAAATTACACTGAACAATTTTTTGACGGTTGTCTGTACTTAATGAAATATATGTCTCGTTTTGTCCATTATCTTGAGTTGTGCACTAGATACATATGATACTGCCATAGAATTTGGGCAAAATATGATTAAGATCGATCTTTTAGCATAATAATTAAGTTAAGTGAACCAATGCTGCCTCCATAGGTTTTAGAATTTGATCGAATACGACCAGTCTTTCAAACATACTGTACACTCATGTAGTTACTCTTTTTCTCACTTTCTCGCTCACTTGACTGGTCGAGACGAGAGTGATGGAATTGCTGACAAATTGCAGTAACTCAACCATATGACAGCTCAGAACAATAAAACAATGTGCCAGTACCACTGGTACTGCTTATAAAGTCTCCCAGTGTTATTTCTTTGCCTATGCTGGCATAACAACTGAAACACTAGAATAATTTAGTGAGGTCAGTCTAACTTCTTAACGCAGGTCTTCTTGTCTGTGTGTTATGCGATCCCTGTTCTTCCCCTCCACCCTTTTGCACTTATTGCATGCCTATCATTTCTTCCCTTGCTCCTCTAAGCCCTGAGTCACTGGAGAACCCGTCTGACCAGAGGTGAGTCCCCTCTGCCTGAACTGTTTCCAATGGCACGCCGTCCTCCCACACTCAGTCCCCCAGCAGAGGCTAAAGGCCAGGGCTTTTGTCGGGTAGCATGTCACAGCTTGCACACTGAAATCATTTGTAATATGTCTCAGACATGTTTATTTGTCTAATATGCAATCCTAAATGGAATATTTGGACTTTTTTGTGTTTTCTATGCTGATTTTGGGGCAAAATGCGCAGAATGGATTTCAGTATGTGATGTGCTCTATTGTTTGAAGTTGGAAGATGGAATGAACTGTTGTGAAGAAATGGTTATAAACAAACAAAAAAAGAAAGAAAACTTAAATATTTAATATTGTGTTTATTAATATATTGTTAATGTCCTAATTCTGTCAAAATGAATGTCTAAAACATTACATTTCTATGACAGCCACTATTTAAATGATTATATATAGTGTAGTAAGATTTTTGTTTTTTTATAAAGCAAGGGCAGAAAAAAAGTGACAATAACGACACATTCAATATAACAAAAGATTTCTATTTTTTTCTTTTTTAAAGATTTTTTCTTTGTGAATCCAAGTATACTGTGGGGGGGAAATAATAATAATAATTATTGGTAATAATAAGAAATGTTTCTTGAGCAGCTAATCAGCATTTGAAAATTCTACTTTGCCATCACAGGAATAAATTACATTTAAAATATATTCAAATAGAAAACAGTTATTATAAATTGTAATTATATTTCACACCATTTCTATATTTGCTGTATTTCTGATCAAATAAATGCAGCCTTGGTAAGCATAAGAAACTTTGTAAATACACAAAAAGCATCTAGTTCTGCAACTGAATATTCTGTGTGCCTGCTAAGACGTGAGACGTGTTTAATGACCATTCCCATGTGAGCCACTGCCCTCTATAGGTGGACAGTGTGAATCACTCTTTAAGTCTGATCACTTCTGGTGTGAATGAAAAAATAATGCACCACCCTATTATGCATTTTATTAAACAAAATACCTTAAGTAGATCTGTTTTTTGTAAATGTAATCCAGCTTTAAGGGGTTAAGCCCTTTAGAATGTTCTAGATGCTTGAGATCCTAATGGGACATAAGCAATAATGCGCTCAGCAGAGTGGTGTATAATCACAGTTAGCTGCCCTGATGCCGAAGCCCTGGCCTGGGGCCGCGCGAAGGGAAGGCCTGTGGAAAGAGTCCAGTCAGCACATTACATGCGTCTCATCGGGAAAGAATTCAATTACAGCAAATTATTATTCGGGCACATCAAGAGCATTTACATAATGAAATTCTGTCTTTTTAATCAAACAAATTAAGATGTTATTTCCAATTCTCAAGTTGTTAGTAGAGCTGCTAATATTGTGATTTGAAATTTGAGTTGTCAGTGCAGGCAGGCTTGGAGAGGACGCCGTCTGATTTCACGCCCGTCTTCAGATGAATCATTCCTCAAGACAACACGTATTGTTTGATGGACTCTTTCTAGGTTCAATTCTCGAATACAAAAACATACCTGCCTATTTATTCACCTGAGCTTCAACCTGAGAGGAAACACAGCTAATGTACAACAGATAAACACCATAGATGATATCACAGTTTGGTTGCGTTCGACACACCCTTGGAGAAAGTGTTTCTATTCGTCGTGATGTGGTGTGAAGATGCGAGCACATTCGCCATCTGATTTCTTTTCTTCTGTGTGTCGTGTCCGTTGTCTTGTCACTCTCCGTTTTGTCTTTGTCTTTTTTCGTGTTGTTGTTACTTGTCTTACTCCTGTTTACATGTTTCCTGATTTAGCAAACAACCCCCCACACACTCGCTATTCTGACTAACAAACAAGCTTGCTCGCTCAAATAATGGCTCTCTTGATGCCAGCGACTACAGGTACACCACTGAGAACAAAGGAATTGTTGTAAAAATAGCAGCTTTTCCTTTGTGGCGTATATGTGTGTACTTGCAGAGGGTGTTGGATGCAATCGGCTCCCTGTCACAGTCCTCCCCGAGGACATGCAGATGTCACCTTCTCTATGCCTTACAAGAGAAGGCTGCATCCAGGGAACCAGATCAAAACACACATCAGACGGCAGCTGCAATGGGCATCCTTCCTTAGCGCTCCCCGCGCAGGAAGAGGAAATCTAGAGCTTCAAGGCAAAATAGGAAGTGTTAACTTGGAGATAACCTAAAGTGTGTCACCAGCCCTCTCACACACGCATACGCATGCATTCGTGTTCAAAAACCCATTCACCGTGACCTAGTTTATCTAGTTTCATGAGGACCCACAACTGCTCAGTCTGTTCATTAGCTTATCAAGCCCTCCCCGGGTTTTTGACTGTATCGAAGCTACGTTTTCACACATAATTCCATCACTGTTGTTGTTTAAACAGCAGGTAAGTCTCAGGGTTTCATGCACATCCTGTGATTAACTTCGCGTCTCTGAGACGACAATGGATTTGTGATAGCATTTCCTCTCTTTTTGATCTAGTGAGAAGGCCCTGCTGGTGAATAAATTCGAGCTGAGCATCAAGACTGAGGCTACTCATGGTCTGATTTTGTGGAGCGGCAAGGGAGTAGAACGTTCCGACTACATCGCCCTCGCCATCGTGGACGGCCGTGTGCAGATGACCTATGACCTCGGCTCCAAGCCTGTGGTGCTGCGCTCCTCTGTACGGGTCAACACCAACCACTGGATACGAATCAAGGCCAGCAGGTAAAACACCAAGAGTTATTCAGCCATTGCCTCAGCTTTGTCATAGTGTAGTTGCAGATATTTACAGGACTCAACAGTAAGGAATCTTTTCTTCAGGCAAAGTCACCTGGCTGCAGCTAAATTTACATTTCAGTGAATGACACACACACTCTCTCACAAACAATTTAGTCTAGGGCTGCACGATACACCAACATTAAATAGAAACCACTATATTAGTGTGATTTTTCTAATCGCAAAGGATGCGATTTAGTTATATAAATATTAGGGCTGTCAGTTAAACGCGTTATTAACGGCGTTAACGCAAACCCATTTTAACGGCGTTCATTTTTTTATCGCGCGATTAACGGTCTTTTTGGCCTAGCAAACTTTGTAGTTTTTTTCACATGCTTTTGCAACAGGACGCGGCAGGCGTTTTGTTGCTTCGTCGACTAAAGCGCAAGCGGATCTAGCTAGACCGGAAAAAAAAACAACAGGCACGCAGCACACACTCGTTTGGGCTTGCGAGCCGGTCAAATAGTAGGTTAACGTTACGTTTTGAGTGGATGACGAGCGCGAGACGCCGAAATGGATGCCAATAAGATTCTGAATTGAAAGTTTACTTTTAAAAAGTTGCCAAATGGTCCCATTGACAAGACCAAAGTGATCTTGTGTGTTTTGTCGTTGTGAACTGAGCTATCATCGCAGCACGTCCAGTCTGAAATACCACTTAATGGCCAACCACACACACACAGCTGATGCGAATTCTCCGCCCCCTCGTCAATATCAGGACCTCGTCAATATTTCTTTCACCCTTTTATTGATGGACAGTGTTACATTGTGTGAGAGATTATTTGCTCCAAGTGAGAATGTTTTAGTGTGAAATTGAACACAGTATATGCCAATGTTGTTTTCAATAAAAAAACATTTGCACAAAGCAAGCCGATCCACTTTTCCATGTTGATAAGAGCATTAAAATGAGAAAAAATAATGGGACAAAAAGAAATCAAGAGACATTTAGAATAGATAAAAATGTGCGATTAATTGTGATTAATCGCGAGTTAACTATGACATTAATGCGATTAATCTCGATTAAATATTTTAATCGTTTGACAGCACTAATAAATATATGCGCTGTGTGTTTCAAAGTAAAGCGCAAACGTGCGACTTGTAACAACAGTGTTTTTAGGGTCTCAAAGCGATTATTAATGAGAAGAAACTCGTCCAGTCCAATCACTGCGCTGTATTCTGCATCCGATTGCACTACACTGGAGAAGTCAAATGTCACGAAAGGCTGTTTCAGTTCTGTTGATTTATCTCTGTCGTCTGTTCAACTCAGCACTGTTGTCTTTTAGAGACATGGGGTCCGTTCTTCCTACCTCGCTTAATATATCTGAGATGATTTAACAGATGCCAGATCTTCTCATTGTGATAACTGATCTCTGGCTAATTTTGTTCTTCCAACGAATTTGCAGATTTGATTAAATGGACCTGTTGTATGACAGCAACGATGAGCTTCGAAAAACCTAACCATCTTGGATCTTGTAAAATCGTCAGTAACATCCAAGTACGGAGAACTTGGAACATGGTCGTAAGAACGTGTTGCTTGCCGTTCCCTTGCGTGGATTTTAGCTACCTACCAACACATACGAAAAATATGTCTGTAAAAAGCATTTCACATGTACTGTACACACACCATGGAACGCGCATGAGAGCGTTTTCTGCGTTTAACACCGCGATGACTTTAACAACACTCACATCATAGTTCATACCCAGACCGGAGTGAGAATATTTTAAGTTTTTATGGATATACAATTTTTCATATACTGTATACATTATACAGTACATTATCATATACATAGTGTATGTAAATAAAGAAATTAAAATGTAAATGTTAGCATCGAAATTTTACAGTTGAACTATAAAATAAAATATTTTTTATTAAATTGGCCTACTCGATTACTATCATATCAAACTTCATAGGACAGAAATCCCCCTGGTTTAGGAACCCCTGGTTTCGATTTCTACTTGCCTTGCCAACAAATTTATTGACCCTTAATAAAAATGACTTTTTTATTATTATTATTAAATGTACAATTTATATTTGTTTATTATTTGTTTATATTTTAAATTGTCTAATTTTAAATGTCTAATTTTAAAATATATTGTGTAATATTACACTATCATTCAGAGGTAGGTTTTTGGGTAGGTAATAATTGTAATGTTTTTAAAAGTAGTCTCTTACCAAGGCTGCATTTATTTGATAAAAAATACAGTAAAATATGACAATTTAAAATAACTGTTTTCTTTTTATATACATTTTTACATTTAATTTATTCCTGTGATGCAAAGCTGAATTTTCAGCATCATTACTCCATTCTTCAGTGTCACATGATCCCTCAAAAGTACAGCATTTATTTGAAAGAGAAATAATTTTTTTATCTATTTGTCATTTTTTTTATCAATTTAATGCATCCTGCTAATAAATGTATCAATTTATTCAAAAAAGATCCTACAGACCCCAAACTTTTGAACAGTAGTAAATATAATTTTTTTAATCAAATATTTTCTTCGCTTAAAAAATGGAGATTGGAAATAAATTCTTTAACTCTTCTTTAACACTGCAACATGATACACAACAAAAACTTGGTTTATAATTTCTTACTATTTATACACATGCTACCAATTCTTGCAATTTCAACAAAGTCTAATTTATAAACAATAATTTTACTTAGCTGACACATTCATGCATGGCATGTACAGTACATAATAAAAAAAAATGTAAATGACATAGAGTGCTTGCCATAGAGCTGTTTGCCAATAATGGCGGACAATTATATTTGCTATAGACACGTTTCCCAACAGTAGCAAATTGTCCAAAGTTTCCTGCAGGTTTACCACTATCAGTGAAATTCCACAATCTTCTTTCTTCCCGCATTATTACCGTTTTGTTTCCCGCAAATTTAGTGCATATTAACCATGGGTTTGCCAGAAGGCAAAATTAGATTGTCAGTGTTAGATGCCTCACTGTCTTCCTGTGCTTCTCTACTCTCCACAGAGCGCTCAGAGATGGCTCACTGCAGGTTGGTAATGAGGCAGCTGTCACTGGGTCATCACCCTTGGCTGCCACACAGCTGGACACAGACGGCGCTCTCTGGTTGGGTAAGTCCATCTTGCGCTGCTTTGCTCAATCGTAGCTCATTTACAAACCAACTAGGTACACCTTCTCCGAATAGTCCCCACTTAGCTTGTAACGACTAATTGGATCTTCCCCCACAGCGAGTGCTTTTGAAGGGCTACACACAAGTACTTCACAAAAGCGTGAATGTTAAGACACAATATTACCTTATTACAGTTCATTATTAATTCAAGGATGAGTCCGTACCATAGGGTGTTTTTAAATACTCCAATGTTTCTGTGTTTGACATCCCATTCTCTTTTGCCAACCCTATTAAGATTAAGAAAGAGGATTTATTCCATGTTAAGGGTGCAAAATCTTCTTATAAGGTTGAGAAAAGTATTTCAGCACAAGGCCAGCCAGTAGAACAGGTGCTGTCAATGCCCGGTGGCTAGAATACATTATCCTCAGACAGCCCGAACATCAAGAGCTCCCTCCGAAAATCCCTTCTTTCAAATGTCATTATTTATTTACTTATTCAGATGTAATTCACTTGAAATTAGCCCCGTCAATCCTCCCGTTGCAAAGCAGACAATCCGATTAAAGGGGAAACACGGGGAGGCAAAAGAGAGAAAGAGAACTTGAGAAAGAGAAATTGAGTGAATAGCAACAGGGGGAGACATTTTTCAGCATGCTGAAAGAGCGGGAGACGGAGCTGGATTTCCGACAGTGTCAGGTCCCCGAGGGAGGTGAGCTAACTCTCATTCGGAGCTGTCAGAGAACGTCCCCGGAGCCCGGCCTCCCAAAAACACTGTTTGATCTTCCCACCTGTTCCTGAGTGCTGTGTCTCTATCTGTTCACATTCTGACACCCCCACATTACAGTCTCAGTGTCTCAGGTGTGATTAAGTTTTTAACAGTCTTCTACACAGGGTTTCCATAACACACAGACGGTTCATCGCCCTTGAATAATATATAGCGCTTTAGCTCGCCTGCATGGTGGGTAATATCTCAGGTTACATAAAGACATGCATTTATACTGTGGGTCAGTGACATATATGAGTGGCCACAGTGTAAAAAAAAACATAAAAAATGTAACATCTTACATTTCTTTGAATTCATGTTGGTTTCATGATGTTTTGAAACACATTTATTACATTTTCAGGAAAATGTGTCATGTTGAGTATAAGATATAAATATTTTCCCTCCACCATAAATGCATGTATAGGCCTATCCATCTTTAAATTCAAGGTGAAAAGTTTTTTTTTTTTTTTACAAACATCATGAATCATTAATAAAAAAAATACTTTCAATAAAATTCAGAAATAGTACAAAAAAATTGCATCATTGACCCACATGCAGTGTGATAACATGGATGTCTTACTACTGTATCCATTTCATGCTGTCCACTTGTGATTGGATGACCTGAAATGGTTTATTTAGGTCTGTTGTGTGAATATAAAGTACTGTGCAGTATATCATGTACACTTGATCTGATCCTTTCCTTTCCTCTCCTCTTCAGGTGGTCTGGAGGAGCTGTCCGTAGCCCGCCGGTTGCCCAAGGCTTACAGCACAGGCTTTGTCGGCTGCGTCAAAGATGTGATAGTCGACGGGGTGGAACTACATCTGGTGGAGGACGCCTTAAACAGTCCCAAAATATTACACTGTTCGGCCAAATAGTCTGGCACCACCATTCCTCCCAACACCATGTCTACTGCTGTAATTATTTTTCTATTTTTTGTATACTTTTCTTTGCCTTTTATATTGGAAAAATTACATTGTTTTAATTATGATTTTTTTTTTTTGTGGTTTTTTTGTGTTTTTTCCCCGTCTTTGCGTCCAAACATAATCATGTCCTCCGTCGGCGAACATGGTGTCACAAGACAAGCAAAAAGTCTTATTACATCTGTGCTGTTTCTATGACAAACATCAGAACATGTACTTGCTTATTACTTGAACAGTGTCAGATGAGATCGGTGCTGTTTGTGCCGTCTGGATTGCCTTCTCTCTGTGCCATATAGCTCTCGTCACCAAACATTCCTCTGAGCTGTTGCTGTGCTCCGTTACTGCATTAAAAAAGGTCTAAAAGAAACGACTTTCCGCTTTATCGGCACGTGACGGCAACTGTTAAATACACTGAGCAAGACTATGTACGATATTCCTCATTTATGATACCACTAACAGGGGCGAAAGCTCAAAACTTGGAGCTTTTGAATCCCAAACTGATAGTAGCTGACGTAACATTTAGCATTCCTCAAAATTCACCATTGTTTTTACCATGCAAACGTCATTATTGACCTGTGAGATGTAATAAATAGTAACGAAATACATGAGACTGTGAATTTTGAAGATGCTATTTTTGTTGCAATCATTCGTCTCATGTGTTGTGCATATCTAAAGAGCAATTACTTATATAGATATACATTTATATATATACTATGTGACCACTTGTTGCATGCATCTTTTTAAGTGTTGAGTTGATTTTGCCTTGGTTTTCTTGATCTTCATCATTCCATTCAGGGCAGAAATGTAGCTGACTACATTGCAATCTGGACATCTGATTATTCAAGTTGGGAGATAAAAGAAAAGTCAATCTGGACTTTTGTGTGTGTGTGTGTGTGTTGGAAAAACGGCTGTTGCAGCAACTCAACTATGGGAGGCGCTGTAACACAGGAAGAGATGAGAGACTCAAAACACATCAATTGGACAAAAACAGCATTGACATTCTTGGCATGTATTCACTGCATATTTTTTTTCTATCATGTATCAAATGAAAATGTCGCTTTAAAATGCTGTCAGCACTTGCTATAAAAAAAGGGATGATGTTTGTAGACCCCTTGCATCCTATGACTGTGGCCCCCATAAGAGCTGTTCATGTTCAACGATAACCAGTGAAAATATTAATGCATGGGTTTATCAAGTCAAAATGGTTTTTGTAACCTGTTCCAAGACAAATGCAATGCTGTGGTGCTGTCTCTGTGCAAGAAATATGAGTTTGATACAAGATGCTTTGCAATATTCCACTCCAAATAAGTATCACAGTATCTTTTTTTTATGTTTTTTTTTTTTTTTTTTTTTAAACCCTGGGACATGCAAGATCATAATCATCATCATGTACAGCCCTGTGTAAATTTGTTACTGAGGTTTTGTTTTAGTATTATACACTGGAAGCGAGTCTGATTTGTCTCTACACGGCATATCCTGAGCGAGGGGATGGATCTGGGAATAATCGATCATTTATTTGTCGTCACAGGATGTCTAGTGTTCCAGACGGAGACCGGGAGCCCTTCGTTACTGCACGAGCTGTATGGACCATCCACCCTTTTTAGTATAGCGCCCTCACCTTCACCTTTCCAGCGGACTCGATTTTTTGATCTCTTTTATAATAATGGGAGTTACATTTTTTTTTTTTGACATCCTCCAGTAGCTTTGCTCTCAAGGGATGAGGCTCATGGTGAGAACCACCATGGAAATCTGCTGTGTGAATGGAAACTGAGAAATGCCTTAAAATCATTCACCGTTCATGGGTGACAAAAGTTCATGTCCATATTGTTCTGTGCTCTCTCACTTTTCCAGTATATTAGCCTCATTCCCATCATGTAAATTAATTCATAAATGTTAATAATTATATTAATAATGCTTATGAGAATTTCCAGAAGGCCTCGATAATAGTGGTTCTGGAGTCTACAAAAATACTATTTACTGTACAAATACTATTTTCAGTATCTTATTTATGTCTTAAGAGGATTCTCAGTCTGGCATTTGTAAACTACTGTTTCGATTGATTGAACTAAACCTGATGGGCAGTGCACAGAATGAGGCATGACGTTACCATTACTAACTTTATTACTTGTGTCTTGTGTTCCAACCACCATAAAATAAAATGTAAAACAAACTGACCTGACTTTCTGTAACATTTACTTCTGATAACGTCTGTGAATAAATCCCTCCAGTTCCCAAATTGTCTAACCCAGAGTCTCTCTAGTGTTATATCATCGTTCGAAAGTTTGGGGTTTTTATTATACTTTTTGCTCATTTATTTGATCAGAAATTCAGTAAATATTATGAAATCATATTACAATTTACATGAAATGTATAACTGTATAAATAACACGTTTTCTATTTTAATATATTTTAAAAGTGTAATGTATTCCTGTGATGGCAAAGCTGAATTTTCAGCATCTTCAGTGTCACATGATCCTTCAGAAGTCATTCTAATATGCTGATTTGCTGTTCAAGAAACATTCCTTATTCTCATCAATGTTGAAAACAGTTCTATCATGACAACTCGGGAGATTTTTAGAATTGTGATGGAAATGACAATGTTAATGTATTTGGTCTTGTGAGAATAGATCTGCTATGCTGCTGCTGCTGCTGCAGAGCAAGTACAGGAACTTGCTACTGCCAATACATACGCTGATACGCTGCTGTGAGTATGTAAGACATACTGCTGCTGCACAAATACCATATATATAAATTACCCATAGCAGATCTATACAGGTGGAGCTGGAGAAGGTGGGTAGTTTCGGAGGACCTCTGAAGCGCGCTACAGTGTGTGCTAACCAGCCATTTAAATGTTGGGAGCAGCAAGCTCATTGGCTGCAGATGCTACCAATCAACTTGTGCCAAGTAGTTAACGCTGTGAATATCATCAGGTTGCATTAAGGACCCATCAGCCTGTGCCATCTAGAGCAGTGGTTCTCCCCTTACGGAACAAAAATATATGGGAATATACTGCAAAATATAATAACATAATACATTTCCATATATTGGAAACAAGTGCTTATATTTTCAATATACTGAAATATATGCATTGATCATGTATGGCTATGTATTAATACATATAAAATATTTATTAATGAAAACAAAAATAGTATTACATGTAATATTCACAGTTTTATCCTTTATTGTGGACATTATTGCACATACATGTTCCCATATACATGTTAATGTATATTCACATTCATGAAATGAGTTACAACATATTTCTAGTTTCCAGCATGCTTTGCTTCTGACTGGTAAAGGAGACCAAATGTTAAAATTAAGTGTTATTTCATGTGTTTTGCTCAATATTAATATAGTGGGGGATCTGTTAGTGTTTCATGTTCTATTATTTTGGAATTTAAAATGTTTTCTGGTATGTCTGAGTTTTTGGGGTCACCATTGTGCTGAAGAGTAGAGCCTGTGGTTATGTTGACGATTGGCTTAAGACCATTAAGAGTAGACTATAATTACTTTATTTGAATAATAATTACTTTGAGCACGATGTTAAAGGTTTAGTTCACCCAAAAATGAAAATTCTGTCAGTAATTACTCACCCTCATGTTGTTCCAACCCCGTAAGACCTTCGTTCATCTTCGGAACACGAATTAAGATATTTTTGATGAAATCTGAGAGCTGGATCACTCCTCCATACTAGTCCATAGGCTTCTTCAGGGAGTGAAACTTGCCGGCCTCGAAAAGTTATTAAAGACATCGTTAAAATAGTCCAAGTGACTACAGTGGCTCAATCTTAAGTTTATCAAGCGGCGAGAATACTTTTTGTGCGCAAAAACAAACAAAAATAACGACTTTATTTCAACTATTCATTTCCTTCTCTTTGGGCCTCTAGTCAGTTAACGTAGCATGATTCCGTAGAGCTACGTCACACGTAGGCTCACTATTGGCCGACGCTGGTCATGCGTGTGACGTACAACAACAGAAGCTTACGCTATTACACTAGTGAACTGACTCGAGGCCCACAGAGAAGGAAATGAATAGTTGAAATAAAGTCGTTATTTTTGTTTTTTTTGCGCACAAAAAGTATTATCGTCGCTTGATAAACTTAAGATTGAGCCACTGTAGTCACTTGGACTATTTTAACAATGTCTTTAATAACTTTTCGAGGCCGGCAAGTTTCACTACCTGAAGAATCCTATGGACTAGTATGGAGGAGTGATCCAGCTCTCAGATTTCATCAAAAATATCTTAATTCGTGTTCCGAAGATGAACGAAGGTCTTACGGGGTTGGAACAACATGAGGGTGAGTAATTACTGACAGAATTTTCATTTTTGGGTGAACTAACCCTTTAAGTGTTTTAAAGGTTTGCACATATATTGCAGGTTGCATATTTATTAAGTATTCATATATTTTAGATGTTACATGTATATATCTCCATATATGTACATACATTATATGTGGATATTCACATATATGTACACATATATTTCCATATAATTTTAAGATATATTCTACCATATATTAAACACACTATATCTTAACATATTATCAATACATTTTGCCATGTAAATCGGAATACATCTGGATATTTATAAATATAAAATTGCATATATTTTACGATATATAAACACATATATTATATATTCATGCTCAATATATTGCAATATATGGAAAGCGGCAATCATTTGTATATTTTGCAATATATTACATGAATATATAATATATTGTATAATATATTTATCATTAATATATTATTCCATGTATTTCCAATATATAATATATAAATATATTTTCCTTTCGTAAGGGTCAACTCCAGTCCTCGGGACACACTGCTCTGCATATTGTGTATGTCTCCCTTAATTAACACACCTGATTCAGATCCTCAGCTCGTTAGGATAGACTTTATGAACTGAACTGAGTGTGTCAGATAAGAGAGACATACAAAATGTGCAGAGCAGCCGGTCCCGAGGACTGGAGTTGAGAACCACTGATCTAAAGCTTCATGACAGAACTAGGCATTTGTCCTGCTTAATATTTTTTGTGGAAAATGAGATGCATATCTTCTGGATTATTCGATGAATAGAAAGTTCAAGAACAGCATTTATTTGAAATAGAAATATTTTTAACAATGTAGTCTTTGTCACTTTTTATCCATTTAATGCATCCTTGCTTGATAAAAGTATTTAATTCTTTTCAAATAATAGAACCCCCCAATTTTTGAATAGTTTATATTATATTATTTAATTGCATTTGTTAAAGTCACCAAAAATGTGCTTTAAATCAAACATTGACGTGTATTACTTCAAAGACCAAACAATGCAAAATCATTACCAATTTAAATATTCATAAATAACTTGGAACAAACATTAGGCCAAATATTGTGTCAGCCATATTACCAAGGGACAAATGAATTTGAGCCATAAGGCAGCATAGTTTGATTGAATGCACAGCCTTAGATGTTAAGAACATAATGGATATCATATGAGAAATGTTTTTCATTTAAAAATGTTATAAGACTTTTAAAATTATGTATTTTTCTACCCTAACTATACATTGTTCAAATACTGAAAGACACAGTCATGCAATAACACCGAATGATCACATTTTAAAA